AAGACATGTTCTATTTTACATTTCAAATTCTTATATTCATTACTGCTTTTCTTATATTCCATACTGCTAGTTTCAATTAAATATAGTTTAAACCAAAACATGTCACAAGGAACTCAATGCCAAATCTTCTTCACATTTTATATACAATTTTCTTCTCTTGTATAAATACAGTTTGAACAATAAAACAAATGAACAAGAAGTAGTTGAATAAATCTAATGTTTTCTTCTTATATATGTCATTTGGTTGTTCGATACTTTTGTTTACAATTTGTTCTTCTCTTCTATGAAAACGTTTGAAACAACTAAAGTGAATAACAAAAGGAACATTGAATAAATCTAATTCTTTTTCTTCTTATATTTGTCATTTGGTTGTGGAATTTTGTTGTAAAACAAACAAATTCAATAGACCTTGTTTTTCCCAATGAAAAAAGGTGATGGGTTACAAGAAAAGTGTGCGACGGATAAAAGGAACATCCATTTCAGTTTGATGGTGCTTTGAGAAAAAGATGCAACATATGTAGGCCTCAAAAGGAAGTACAACGCAGGAGTATATTTATGTACCCCACTTCACAAAGAATCTCATAATGAATTTTATAATAATTATAATACCTCGCAGACAGTGTATAATGCTGGAGAGTCGAGGCGGAATCCAATTTTTATCAAGGCCTGCAAATTATGCAACATATTCATTGATAATTTATTGTCTACTGCAAATAGGCGGCTGTTAAGGGGCATTTGGCAGTCCAAGTTTGCTTCTTCATTTGGCTAGTCAGAAGGTCTGAAATGTACTATAAGCAAATGCAAGAAAGCAGGAGTTTGAGATTAAGGAGTTTCTTGCCTCATAAACATCATCTGGGACAAGAAATCCACGACCCCTAATTCAATGACCAGAATAATACAAGAATTAAATTCCTCAAAACATATTTTCCAACCAACTCGAAAAGTACTAAATGATTTGCTTTACCAAGAAAAAGAAATTCACCTCTCCAAGTCTGAGAACACATGTTGCACCTACAAATGATAGATTGATGGTTCATAATAATCAAAAATTAAAAATCTTTGAAGGAACGTATCTTATAAACTCGTTTATTGAAGTATCTACAGTAAAATAAGAAAAAATGTCATTGAATTCATGCAACACTAAGGTTTTCATTCTAGTGCAGCCAAGATGAGGTAGTACAACTATTGTGATTTCAGTGTATGAGAAGAACACCTCAAGTCACATCCAAATTGCATATAGAGAAGACCAATTAAGGACTTAATGTATTTGAAGAAAAATTATTATACAAAAATCTAACAAGAGAAGAAAGCTGACTGACCTTCAGCAGAAACTTGTTAAGTTCAACAAACTCTGGAAAACAAAAAAAAAAGATTAATAACAGTATGGGATTCTCAATGGAACAATTAGTAAATATGAACTCAAGTGCACAAAAATAAAGTGAAAAGAAGGGGATGAAGTAGATTGTGTTGTCAAAACAAATAATTAGAATTTATCTCAAAATGGATGTACATTAATTTTCCTTACCGTTGCCTAACGTATATATGGCTGTTACTACTTCTGCAATCATTTCCAATTCAATTGGTACTTAATACATTTTTGTGATTAATGTCTTTAATGACATTTCAACCGTCGGCAGCCTCTTCTTCATTGTATAAACATATTTGGTCATATAGTGGACTACACAATACAGACGAGGAAAAAAAGCTTTTCTTCATCTTCTCTGGGTTTTATCATTCTAAATACTTTGTTGTTCCTGTTCCTAGTTTATACTAGAAGAGAGCTTGTTGAATCCTGAGGGATACACCTTGAGCGTGAAATATCCTTAAGGACAGTGACTTACACGCCTCAAGCTTTCGAGGGTATCCTAGTATTTTCGTGATTATACAACAAGATTTACAACAGATTGCACTGATGATCTAAACAATGCTTTGATAGCTCTCATGCCTAATGACTTGAGGTTAAGTTTAAGATATTATACAACACATTTTTTTTTTGTTTTCCTTGTTGAAGTTGGAGTTTTTGTCATGAAACAAAAGAACTGGATACAACTTTGATATGAAAGTAATAAATTGATGGGCAAGCTAATCAGATTAGAGTGGAAAGATGAAGCTCACCTTGAAAACTCATGGTTCCATTCTGATCAAAATCGCACATCCTGGTGATAATTGAGAAAGAAAAGAATAAATTAAAGATGATTTGTTTTTTAGTTATGGTATTGATAATTTAACATACCTGATCATTTGCTGGACAACAGTGATAGGAAATTGTAAATTTCCAATTGCAAAAGCACTCTGAGACAGTATGTATAGCTTTAGTAACCAAATCGAGTGAATAAGGAAAAAGGATTAAAGCAAAAAATGAAGACCTTGAGTTGAACTGCAGTGATACTACCAATTTTGTCGGTGTCAACCCGCTCGAACCACTCTCTCAAAATCGCCGAGTTCTCCATCTTCTCTTCTAACCCTCAACACAATGAATGAAAAATTTTCAACTTTTTTTGTAAAGAAGACTTAGAGCTATCACATATTATTATAATATTTTTTCTTTTTATCTAAAATTGAAATTAAATATATAAGAAGTTATGTTTTATAGTTTTTACGACGAATATTTGATTGTTATTCTAAAAACATGTTATTTTTATAAAAATTCATTTTACGGAAAAATTTGAAAAAAATAATAACAGTGAAAGTGCAAAAAAGAAACGGAATATAAGTTCTTGAATGATTTCTCAAATTTCAGTATAACTTGGAGTTGTATTCAGTTTTTGTTTGGCCAAAAATTAATTTTCAAATATAATAAAAATATTTGAAAAAATTATAATAGATCAAACGAGTCTTTAGACTTTAAGTGTTCTAATTTAACATTTAAGTTTATTTTTATTGGTTTCATCATGTTTTGATTTTTTTTAGTACTATATATTATTCTTTAGTTTTAGATAATTATTTTCTTCTTCTTGTTGTTTATTTGTTTATATATTTGATATGTTTATTTATCTTGTTCATTTTGGTAGAGGTACTATCAAAAGTAATTAGAAATAAAGGTAAAAAGTATCGTTGAAATATTTCAATTTTTAAAATTTCATATCTAAACTATCGAGAATGTAAGTTTTTTTACGTAAACTATCATCCAATAATTAGCGAAACACAGCTTGATTAACTATGATGTATGTACTATAATTTTTTTTTTCATTTCATATGGCAAATCTAAACAATATAATATTAAGTTAAAAATTAACATAAAAATTAAACCTACCATCATATAAATTAAATTATTTCAAAAATAACATTCACCATTTTCTTCTCCACCTTCTTAGTTGTGGTATCATCTTTGTTATGATGTCAGTATCTCCGGCTTGAAAGAGTAGAGTTTAGGATTTTAAAGAAATTAATTAAAAATATAATTATAGTATTAAAAAAGAGTCATAGTCATACACATGAGTTCAAATATGAAATTCAATAATATAAAAAGAATTTTGTTCAATAATTATCTACTATTTACTTGACACGTGATTAAAAGGCAATGAATGATAGATGAGATAATTTTATCAAATGTCTGTTACTGAATATATGTGATTTAAACATTGAAAAATGAATAATAACGAAATTAGAATTGTTCATTAATTCCATAAATATTGCTTCATTAGAATTTAGACATAATATAGTGGATTGGGAAGTATTTTTGAGTTTAGAATTAGAGATGGGCCAGAACCCGAATAGCCCACAAAAGAATTGGGTCGTAACGGGTTACAACAGCAATAACTCCCTCCCCTCACCCGAGAGGGCAAGATCAACAATCAAATCAATCTTCTTTCTCCTATGGACCGGTTGTTTGTGCCCACCATTCCTTCCTCGTCGTGAAGAATCTGGAAGCATACGCATATTATTAATAATGTAAGATTTCATTGCTTTACTTCGAGTTGATGTTTTTGATACTTGTAGAGCGAATCATTGCCGTTTTATTTATTTATATGGTATATAAAGTTGGATTTTAGATATTCAAAACAATATATTCATAATTTGGTTTCAGAATCTTGACAAAAACATTATTGATTTTGTAATTTAAAGATGATTGATTCCATTGTTCAGGAAAGACTACACTAATTCGTCATCCATCCTGACCTAACTCCCACCCCCAGAAAATAAAATAAAAACACTGGCCAGACTGCGATACAATGAGACAACTACATCTATTAGCTTACAAACTGATTTTCTGCAATATTATGCAATCACAAGTTCCAATTACCTGATACGAAAAAGTATGTTCATTTCCAGATAACTAGTAGAGTACAGAAAACCAGAACCAAAAAGGAAACAAAATAGGCAAGGGAATTATAAACATGTTATTTTCCAGTTTTAAGGTCTTCATCTTTCCAAACTTTTGCTGAATATGTTTTGGGATAAATTTATCCAAAAAAATATTATAGGGGATAAAACCTTATTTATTTTATCAATAGAATTAACTCACCAAATGCAAAATTGTTACTTGGATTAATCGTCTTTCTCGTGGATTATACCATAATTTCTTGATCCACTGGATAATGTAACTTAACTTTTGTGACCATCAATGCAACTCAGCAATTGGAAGTATTTCTTGCTATTGAGATCAGGCAGTTGGGCGTTTAAAAAGTTGGAAAAAGGACTTGTCACATTGAGAACTGCGTTTACAATATTTTAGATATATTACTTGCAAAATTACTTCTTCAAATCATGTAGATTAAGTGGACAGATCAAACCAACTTAGCAGAACTTATATTATTTATATCCGCTTGAGCAAAAAAATATCATTGGATCCTCTTCCATTTTTGTTTTTGGTTGTTGAAAACCGCTGAACTAGAATATGTTCTCATGTGAGTTGCTGCTTCTCTTCAGAGCTGCAGATCATTTTCATTATGTATTGGAATGGAACCACTTTGAATGGAACATATTCATCTCATGTCATGCTCCATCATCTTGATGTTGTGAGCCTATGAGGTGAGAGTAATATTCTCGACTCCGTCCTGGATGGTATACAGTTTTTATTCATAATTCATTATATAGACGTTAGACATATAAATTCTTGATATGCAAATGTAGGCATATATTGCGGATGTTCTACATTCATCACTCACAGTGTTCCCAAAACACTGAAATTCAAGTTTCTTTGTCATCTATTCAATTGTTTTGTGTAAATCATGTTCAAATTTCTTTCTCCCTCCACCACTCCTTGCCGTGAAGTTTAAAAGTAAAATCCTTGCTGTGATATTGTGGTGGGTTCTGACTCTAGTGCTACACAAATTCTGAATAGGTCTAGACCACGATAACCTATGACGTATTAACACCATTGAGTATCTTTCTTTTACCTCTCTTTAAAGCTATGTTGCTTGGAATCTATAAGAATGTCAAGGGGTGCGTGTCGGATCCACCAAAAGTAGTGTAATTTTGGAGAATTTGACACTGGTGCGGAATCAAAAGTGAAGAGTCCGTACAACTTAGCTTAAAATTGTAAAACTAGAATTATCGCCCTAGTTACCGCAACTACTTTCAACAAATGCGGGGATAAATTGGTCTCTCTTCAACACTGCAGCTCCGAATGGTTAGCTTCTTATCTTCTGTGTTTTTTTTTAACTTTTCGACTTTTCCTTAATATATATTCTGGAAAAAATGATTTGATTTATTAAGTCCCAACTCTTTAAAAGCAACAATTGAAGAAAACTTTCAAAAACAGAAACACACTCATTGAGTGTAGAAGGGTTTCTATCTACACCTAACTGTTCTAGTTTGTGTAGTTTGGGATTTGATGTTGCAAACCTGTAGAAAGTATTTATCATCTCCTAGCTGATTCTTGAGCTGATGGATATGGTCCACTTAAGGAGCTTATTTATTAGTATAAGCTTGTTAAATCATTTATAACCAGTGCATAAGAAGAAGTGGTCTTGAATTTCTTATTGTTAAGACTGAAGAGTTGGATTATAATGGTTGAGCATCTTTTTTTCCCGATAAATGCCGAATAAATGATTGCAGGCCGGGGCTTCTTTATTAAAACCAATGCTGTTAAAAGTGACAAGCACAAAGAAGCAACACGATGCACAGGCATGAAGTGAAAAGCAAGAATTGAAGCACACAATTTTGAGAATACTACAGATTTCAAACATATTGGTTTGTAGTGGTTGTTGTTATATTATAAGAAGGTGTCGATATCAATGTGTTGCAAGGATAAATATCTTGATGATTGTTGCAAGGATGATTTTTGTTACAATCTTTGAAGTATGAATGATCTATATATCGCTCCATTTTGCTGTCCATGATTGAAAGCTGAAAAGGGTTCTTTGACATGAAGAACTTATCCCAAATAAAAAAAAAATAAGACCAGAAGAAAAATTCTTTGATAAGACTAGTGTACCTGTTTATACGAATGTTGAGAAGGTTATGAAAGAGGAAGGAAGAGGAAGGGTATGCTTCTGGAGGCAACAATCCTCCTAAGAGACTATTTTACAGAACTGATGTTTCTGAAGTTGCCGAGCACGTCACAGTCCGAGGTTTTTAAGAATGGGAAACTGTCAGTTAGGAACTTCGGAGGGAAGATAATGATGGATTCGAGAGTATTACATCTGTTTGCATGTGCGGAAATGTTGAGAAGGTTAAGAGACAGGAAGAGGATGAGTATGCTTCTGGAGGCAACAATTCTCCTAAGAGACTATCCTCCAGAACCGATGATTCTGAAGTTGTCGATCACGTCGTATTTTGTTAGATTTCTAAGAATCGGAAAGTGCCAATTAGGAATTTCAGAGGGAAGAGTATGATGGACATTTGAGAGTATTACTTTGAAGATGGAGAAAATGCGAGTAATAAAGGCATCTCATTGAGTATGCATTTGTGGAATGTTCTCAGAGATCATGCAGATGAAATTGATAAGGTTGTTTCTGAGAACAATTTAATGGTGGACCTGTAGCATATGCTGAGGTGGTGGAATAATGTTTTTATGGGTTAAGATAAGTTGAATTGGAACTAGTAGATGTTTTTCCATGGGAATGTTCTAGATTAGGTATAAAGCAAGCTCTGCTTAAGTTGGTAACTAAATGGCTTAATGGAATAAACACTTTCTGAATGGATTTCTGCATTCGTTCCTGTTGCTTATCCTTTAAACAGAAAGAGAGGGGAAGGAGGAGGGATACATATGTGTTGTTACACCTCGAAATTTGTCTAATTTGAGCCTTTATATCTTCGCTTGGCTTTTAAGAAAAAAAATATTTGTTTGTACTGAAGTGGTTGTGGAGTACTTGACTAGATCATAACAGTTATTTGGTTAAATAATAGCTTTTATCATGATCTGGTTTTTGCTTGTTGCTAGATTTATAAGATTCAACTATCTTCTACAATGAGCTTTAGTTTAAAATGTCACACCATCAAACATTTGACCCTCAAGTTTATGATGTTAGGAGCATGCATTTACATATAAACTATCTGATGGAGAATCAAGATCCATAACTTTTCACAAAATTAACTGCTGCTTATGGACACATTGGCAGTTATATATTCCCTTCATTTCGTATGATAGTATTTTACTTGGCACAGAGTTTATTGTTTATGAGAAAAAGGACTTCTGCACTTTACCAAATGTACCCGTAAGATATTCTAGTTTGCAACATGACATGTTAGTTCGATAATGAAAAGCGAGAATACTGAAATTAAAGATTTTCCTTGTATAGAAGGTGTCACTCTTTTTTGTGACGGACGAAAGAGAAAAGAGTGTAGTATAAAATGGAATAGAGGGTATCGAACCTATGAATTCCTCTTTCAGATTTAACTCTTTTTGAACCTTCTCTTCTTAAAAATCAAACTACTAACTTTTGTACTTAACACAAAATTTGTTCATAATTTTACTTGAAAAGGCAAGATCTATGTAATCATCTAACATACACCTTCTCTTAGATGGGTGAACAAACTGTAGATTCAAAGTCAAGTGACCAGACTAATGCTAAATCTGGTTTTGGTTTACCCAAGCATGATAAACAGCTGTCGGTCCCAGTAGCCATAGTAGGGCCTGCACTACAAGATTCACAGAGTGAAAGTGTGGTTGCTGCCTCCAAATCTACTGAAAGCCCACTATTTCCTGAAGCGAATACTATGGCGAATAAAGTTTCTAATATAACTGGCTCAAAAAGACCTACCCCGGAATGCCTTGTGAACCCACTCAACCGATGCTCGACAAACAATTCTGGTAGTGGGCATCTTGTCTATGTTCGTAGAAGACCTGAAGGAGAGCTAAGCAAAACAGCTGCTAATACCAGCCAAAGCGGTGTTACTGATTATCCACAACTAAAAAAGCTTAGTCAACATGCTGAGAAAACTCAGACTGAAGTCCAGATGAAGGAAGGATATTACATTCCAGAAGTTTCATCAATCTCATGGACTCCTTCAAGGTGCTCCTTGTCCACAGAACCTTCAGTTCCTCCCTCTACAGGAGAGCCCAACAATAATTTAGCTTCAGTTAATGTTAGCAACCATCAAGTCACGTCTACCAGACTATTGTTGGATAATCCCAAGAAGGTTAATTTTAAGCATTGGGAAGAGCGGTATTTCCAATTGCAGAACTTGTTGCACAGACTGGAGCACTCAAAGCAAGAGGATTATGTACAGAGTATGTAGTCTAATTTCTTGAGGCTTGCTCACTTAATTGTCTATCTGTTGTAATTCATCTTCTTACTCATTTTATCAATATAATCTCATTGAGCAGTGCTTCGTTCTCTCTCCTCTGTTGACCTAAGCAATCATGCTGTTGAACTGGAGAAGAGGTCCATACGGCTTGCCTTGGAGGAAGGTACTTAATGATTATTGCTTTTATTGTTGCTTTATTATGGCCTAGAGATGTGATTTGAATGAAAAAGTAAGTAAACCTGCTGATTTTATTGTAGTACTCTCATTTTTGCCTTGACACATCTTTTTCCATTTCAATGATGTGTTGGATTTATTTATTTATTTGGCTGATGATGCAAGATGCATTTTGCTTCAAGAATCAATTTCTGATTTTTTGTGGATATTTACTTGGTTGGAAACGACAATGGTGTTTGATATCTCCTAAAGTCTTGTGTGTGCGCGGCTTGGTTCTAATGAAAGGGTTGAACCTAAAGATAGTTATGAGTTAGATTTTATTTTCTGTATTGAGGTTTTTTTGTAAGCAATTCTCACAATCCCTGGGAATGACCTCTGACTAAGTTTTGGTAAGTGTGAATTCTCGAAAGAGTACGAATTGTACATTGATTTTGTTATTTCCTCTCTGATAGAATGGTTCTTCTTTGGGACACCGGAAAGAGAATTACTGCAATATTTGATAATAATTGTTGAAAATGATTGGGCTTTTGACTCTGCCTATTTCTTTTCTGCCCTCTTTGTTCCATTGAAATGGTGAAAAGCTTGTGCCATTTTCTCAGTTCTCTGCTTCATTTAACATTACCTATTTTTATAGATTTTTAGCACAATTAGTTCAAAGGACCTTTTCTGGTGCTGGTATTGTTTCTAAATTTCACTTTTTCTTTTTTTGGTTTTCTCCTAAAATTTCTCAGCAAAAGAGGCGCACCGAGTAAGAGTCTTGGATATTTTGGGGAAATATCCGAAGAACCCCAGAGCTTCTCTAGCTTGATGTCCTGAACAGTGTCAGAAAGAAGGAAATTTAATTGTATTCTTAAACAGAATTTGTACATGTTGTAGCCTGATATTCACATTGTAGTTAGAGAGTATCTTGTCTGGTCTTAGCTAGTTAATGTATTGTAGCTATCGTTTGTTAACTCTTAACTTATAGCGTGTTTTATTGAGGAAATGGAAATGGCTTTCCTCAGGTCCATCAACATCAGTTGAGATTGAATGTTTTAGTCCATTAATCATTTAATCCTCTTCTGTTTCTATCTATCCTCGGTCGCAGAACTTACAATCTGTTACTCAGTTGTGGAACCAGATTTTGGCAGAAATTTTTGGGGATGACAATTTGTATTAATTCGTATATGTGGTCAACTCAAACCTGTTTTGGATTGAGACTAGTTGGATTGTTTTTACTTATTGTAAATTCATAACCACAGTAATTGTGATGCTAAAATGATGAGAATTGGCTGGTTAATCGAAGTTGTATGAATTGGTTGGTTGATTCAAATTTAAAATGAAGTCAGCTTATTGTGGAAACAGATTACATGAATAAAAGTAATTGTTGGTTTACTTTGTCATCCCTTAATTTGTCCATAAAATTACAAGCACAAAAAAAAAAAGACTTGGAAATATGGTATAGATGCTTGTTTGTTGAGTAAAAAGAGAATATGCAATATTCATATTCTTTTCTCTTATTATTATGAAATATATATATATATGTTTCACATCTACACACCACCTTATCTCCAACTTGTAAAATTAATTAATTAATTATTATTGTGTCATCTCCTCACCACATCGTCACTTGTAAATGGTATGTGTTGTCCACATACCTATCTAGATATTAATAATATTAGAGTTGATTATGTCGTAATAATGGAAATCAAAGAAAGTAAAAAAGAATCTTGTTTGAATCTTGGGTTTGATCCAATAATCGGATTTGGCCTAGAATCTTCTCTCTTTATCTCTTACACACATTACATAGCCTGAAGATAGATATATCATTTCTATATACACATAATTATTGATTATTTTATGCTTCAATAATACAATATAATAATTAATACTCCTACTTAGACAACAGCATACGACCTTTTCTTTTTCTGTCTAAGAAAATAAACTTTTTGACTTTTATTATTTTATACGCATTTTGCGTATATATGTTTCAAATTTTGAATATACCATTATCTAATTTTATTTGAGTCTACCATTACTTGTGTTAGTAGTAAGACGTAATGAACACATCCACTACAAATTTCTGTTACAAATACTAGTAGTAATTGATACCATGCCAACTGACTAATTTTTTATCCATCACAAATGTTATAACCTAATTATTCACTTTTTTCAATGTTTTATCATATATACGATCCATTCAAAGTAGATGGATTAAGATAAATAGTAGGGTATAGGACATGTATGTGCTTATAAAACAAAATTGGAGGTGGATATATATTTACATACAATTAATTAATTAATCACCCAGTCGGCTTCCTTTTAATTGGCCGTGCTCTATAGATAATTAAAACCCCTTATATATATATATATATAAAAGCTAATTGTCAACCCATAACATTAAGAAAAAAAAAGGAGATTAAATTAATGAAGATGGTCACTTTCAAGGCCGCCCATTAACAAAAATTGGTACAACTGTTCCCTTTGACAAAGGATGAGCTAGCTATATAGATAGGGCTCATTCAAGATATACATTAATTATTAGCTATAACATAATAATATGCACAAACAAATAGATATTCAATTAATCTACGCAATGCATTTCATATTACTTGACTCATGTTTAACCTGATATACCTCTTAACAAAGCTTTTGTTAGGAATGTATTTTACTTAACTAATCTTATTATTCTAAATTTAATGCTATTGCTATTATTCTATATATATAAGAAAAAGAAATAGTATGAAGGGAAAATAATAACTCTCTTAATTAATTTGCTAAAATGAAATGGGAGGAGAAATTCCTAGGCACCAATTCACGTCTCTGGCTACTTGTCATTAATAATAAGGTGTATACATATGTTGTCAAAATAATTAAAAAGATGTCTCCTTATTCTCACCTGCATGGAATTGATTAACTTTTTCTCTCTCTTGGGCAATTACTCATCAATCTCATTCCAACATGCACAACTTAGTTTTGTTGGTTTATTTCTAAACCCTTTTCTCTATTTAATAATTATTATCAGACCAAAATAAGCATCAATCCAAATTTAAGTTATGATCGAGATCCTATGAAGTAAAATATTTTTCAAATTTCTCTACTAGTTCTTCCTTATTTAGGAAATGAGAAAAATAATTATAAGTAACACTTGTCTTTTTAACACAATTAATCCACCCCAAGCTCTCATCCTACCCCAACATTATTTTTGTTAAATTATACATGGATACTGTTGAGAATTTACCAAACACTAGAAAACAAAAAAATATATTAAATGTATGACACTTGGAAATTAAAGACGTTGCGTCATTACAACTTGCCAGTAAATTAACAAGATGGACGATATATAAAATAATGCTGGCGTAAGCGGCATAGAGATTCCAAGAGCAAGTAATTTTATACGAAAAAGGTGAAAGAGATACCTTCCGTAACGCAACTTAAAATTTTATAGTTTATACATTTCTGTAACTTTTAACTCTCTCTCTCTCTATATCTTAAATTAATATGTTATAGTAAATTATTATACAAATGAATGTGAGAGTTAGCCTGTATCTAGTTTCAAGAAAGGTGAAAGTAGATTGAAGAAGTATTTTTGAGAAGTGACATAAATTAGGATGGAAGATTAGTAAGTAGCTATGCGTTGTCATGTTATTGATTCATATTAATAGTTATAGTATTGCTTCGATAGTTTCTTATCCTCTATATATTGCTCTTTGTACCCTGATTATTGTATTGTTTTGTTATGTTATTTTCTTTTGTTTCTTGTATTTTTTTTTTGAAACTGCTTTGGACTATATTTTCTTGAGTTAAAACTTTATCGAAAATAGTATTTCTACTTCTAAGATAAAAATAAGATCTACGTACAGTCTACCTTCCTCATACCCCATACTATGGAACTAAACTAAACTAAATGTGTTGTTGTTGAATTCACTATCATATACATATAAATATTATTAAATCAATTTATTAAAACATACATAAATTCTAAATAGAAGCTATTAAATTTACGTAAATTACAATTTAGATAGAAATTTGATAGTACTATTTTATTATTTAAAGAAGAGTGTGGAGAAGCTTATATTAGATTGACCAATTACTAGCGTCAAACTCTTTTAATCATAACCAATATAGTAATCCTGGAGAAACAATAAACTTGAGAGTTGGTGTGGAATGCACGTAAGTAAAAAGATTAGTTAATAGATAATAAGACCTAAAAAAAATGACATAAGCAAATGAAAAGAGACATATAATGATAATATTAATTTGGAACCATGTGGTGTTGTCATTACTCATATGTGGGTTAATGTACTTTAACATCCTTTTCAATGACACATCAACCTTAGCTTATTTTAATTCAATCTTTTGCTACTTCCAAAGTTGTCTATAATAAAATATGATGTCCATGCGATGCCACCATTATTGAAAAGTGTTTTAAACATTTCGCATGTATGTAATAATAAGTGCACGAACAATTTATGGTTAAGCACCATATAGATAGCTTAACAAAAACAGATCATCCATTGCTCTAGCTTCTTTTTTTTTTCCTAAATAGAAAGCAGATCCTACGATGATGGAACAAGTTGTCTTCATTTCCAAATAATTTTCTATAACAAAAAATCCAAAATCATGAAATTTATCATGGATCTATTGTCAAACACAGTATATTTATTAGGAAAATGATATACTTTTAAATTCGTTGTGAGGTTAAAAATATGCGTCATAGAATAATTATTATATCAAATAATCTAAAAGTATAAACAGGAGAAAAGATAAATGAAGCAAATCCGAAGACATTTGAGTGTAGCTGGTCTCCAATCGAAGGTATATTAGTATGGATCGAAATAAGATTTTATATAGTAAAAATAAAATGGTTAGAGCATAAGAATATCACTAATATGTTGTTTTTGTAATATTTTGAATCCAACCTTTTTTACATGTATATTTAGATTATTACTTACTATGTAGTATATGCACCAATCAAATAGAAAATTATATTCGAGTCTGAAAATACTATGTCCACGTGGGAGTACTAGCTAATATATATTCCTCTATTGATGCATGGTAGAATCTCATATAAGACTATATATATATATATATATATATATATATATATATATATATATGAATCCTTTTAATATGTGTTTGATTAGAAAATTGTAATTTCCTTATTTAGGAGAATACATATACAGTTTATGGGTTTAGCCCCAAATTATGTAACACACCTTCTCAACAAGGCCAATCTTTCTAATTCACTACAAGAAAAACTAAGAAATATTTAACGATAAACAAAATTTTTAATTGACGATGAACTATATAAATATTCAATTAGCTAAGAATTATGGAAAGATTTGGTAGGTAATTTCTAGTATAAAGTTTGTCTAGGACATACCATTTTTACAACATGACACACGGATGTTTTGATATATCTGAAAAGTTCATCAGAATCCATATATTTATTAGAAAAAATTGTATATAATAGCAAATCAATAACCTAAATTAAATGAAATAGCTAGGGTTTGATTTAATTGTGCTCAATAGCAAACATTAGCTAAAATTTGCCAGTGTCTTTCTCCCAAAAATCACGCTCGCCACTCTCCATTTTCGCTCGCCTCTCTTGCTTTATACACAGAAGTGTATAATTTTGTTTCTATTTGTATAAAGCGAGAGAACATTGTATATACACATGCAAAAATGTATATCTTCGTGTTATACACTTAATTATATAATTTACAAACATTTTACTTCAATATTGCAGAGAAAAAGGCCAACGAATTATACAATTGCAGTGAAATACAATTTTTTCTAGCTTCATACAACAGAAGTGTATATATTGTGTTTCTGTTTTTGTATAAAGCGAGAAAAACATATATCTTCTTACTATACACTTATAATTATGCAATATACATACATTTTAATTCGATTCAACTGTATGCAAAACAAATTATACAATTACAGCGAATTATACTATTGTATATGTATAGCAAATTATACAGTTTTATGTTTGCTATGGAGCGCAATTATGCAAAGTTTGCTATAACATATAAAAATGAATTTTTTGTTTGAAAGTTGCTCTCCTCCATAGTCCATATGATATAATTAGTCGATACAAAACTTTGGATATGAAAATTGAGTACAAGGTTTTTGTGAAGGTCGGGTGAATTTTTGAGATGCAAAATCTGTGTATTTATTTACCAAATATAAATGTAATAATGGATGTTGCTTGCTTCCTGATTAGCGGCAGGTTGTGGGTTCCATTATTGTATAACGTCAGCAACCAATTCATACATTCTATTAATACTTTATACTTATTAATTAATGACACCCACATAAGTACTCATAATAATAAAAAAGAAAAAGAGGCACCAGCTAGGATGACGAATTGATTCAGAATCCACAAACGAGACTACCACCCACCCTAAACACTTGTCTAATAAAATAAAAAGACAAGTGGGGACCAGCCAGGAAAATTGGTAAGGGCAATTCCAAAGGAAGTTGGTGCGATGCGGCGAACTGAACTGGCTGCCCTTTTACACATTAGAGAGTCATGTCATCCATCATATGTAGTGTACGGGGGGGAAATCCTCACCACTCTGGATTTCAGATTTTAAGGTTCACTACTCTATTTCTTTGGAAATTCGAGGGTCAAAAACGACATGCCGCATAATATATTTTCTATTTTAGAATTCACTGTCCTAACATTTTAAAAAATATACAAAATTAATTAATTTACATAAATTAATTCAATTGCCGATAGAAAATAGAGAATCTTTCGAATCAAGAGGAGGTAAGAAGGAAGCAGCATTATTTATTATAGAATAAGCATGGTGGGGACCAATGTGCATCTTATTCTATTCTTTAAAGTTGGGTTGGCTTCCGTCAGCAAGCAATTGTACTTGATTAATAGAGCTGCTTAACCCCACCCCCTTTTTTTTCATTCAGTCGTTCCACATATAGCAATACGCCTATCTCAAAACCAAATTCTTCTGAAATGCAACATTTGATTTTTTATCAGTAATAATATGGAAGATGCTGCCTTTACGCTCTTGGCTAAGCTCCATGACGACAATAATGCCACTGATTTTACTGAATTCGGATTCTGGCTAGAGGCAACTGATCAACCATCCAATTCCAATTCCAATTATTGTACTTCTAATCAAATGGATTCTGCACCACCTACCCAATCTCGGAGGAAGTTATGGATTGGACCAAACAACCCAAATCCTACTAGTAGTATACCACCAGTAAACACCAGATTGGTGCAGGCCATTGAGTACCTAAAGAATTCAACAACCCATAATAAAGAGGTCCTCATTCAGATATGGGTCCCTGTCAACAGAGGAGGTAAACATGTACTTATTACTAATAATCAACCATACTTCCTCAACCCAAACTCCCACAGCCTATTACAGTACAGAAATGTCTCTCAAAATTACCAATTTGCTGCTGACAAGGATTCGAACGAGTTGGTTGGCTTGCCTGGACGCGTCTTCTTGAAAAAGCTGCCCGAGTGGACTCCTGATGTTCGTTTTTTCAAAAGCGAGGAGTATCCGCGAGTTAATTATGCTCATCAGCATAACGTTAGGGGATCCATTGCTGTTCCTGTTTTTGAAACTGGCAGTGGAACTTGCTTGGGTGTGGTTGAGATTGTAACAACTATTCAGAAAACTCACTATCACCTGGAGCTTGAACATGTCTGCAAAGCTCTTGAGGTATTTTTTAAACTTAAATTTCATTTATCTCAATACTTACATTAGCATTAATATCAATTAAATATTTTTTTTTATCAGGCTGTTAATCTAAGAAGTTCTGGTATCTCATCAAATCCTTCCAAAATCAAGGTACATCAAGAAATTTAATCTTTCACTTTCTCATTAGGATCGATCAGCTTCTGATATTCTAGCTATGATTCTATAGGATCAGGATTGCAATGAATCTTACCTAGCTGCATTGGCCGAGATTCAATATATTTTGACATGTGTGTGTGATACACACAAGTTGCCATTGGCTCAGACTTGGGCCCCATGCATACAACAAGGTAAAGGTGGGTGCCTGCAATCTGATGAGAACTTTGCTTCTTGTGTTTCGACAGTCGACTCATCTTGCTATGTGCGCGATCAACATGTGGTGCCTTTTCATTTAGCATGTTCTGAGCATCACTTGCTTAAAGGTGAAGGAGTTGCAGGTGGAGCATTCAATACAAACCAGCCATGTTTTGCTACGGATATTACGGCCTTTAGCAAGGCAGAATATCCATTGTCACACCACGCCAGGATGTTTGGATTATGTTCTGCTGTAGCAATACGCCTTCGAAGTATATATACAGGCTCCGCTGACTTTGTCTTGGAGTTTTTCTTGCCACTTGATTGCAAGAATACTGAAGAACAAAAAATAATGCTAAGTTCACTGTCTTCTGTGATACAACAAAGTTGCCGAAGCTTACGTGTTGTCACGGATCAAGAATTACAGGAGGAAAAAGAAGTTGTACGCCTTCCCATTGGTGAAGAAGAATCAAGAAAACCAGTCTCTTCATCTTACAGGGATCAAGACGCTTCTTCCTGGCTTTCCGAAATGTTGGATGCCCAAAGAAAAGGTAAAGGAGCTGCTGCTGTTTCAGAAAATTTTAAGGTCACGGCAACCCCTTGGGATTACACTCAGAGGGAATCCATTCATGCATCTACATTTTCAGAGCCAAACCAAACTTTTGAACCCAAAGGAGGTTCCTTCGATTTTTCTTCTGGTACAGGATCTCATTCCTCAGGTGCCAAGAGAGCAGGTGAAAGAAGACGGTCGAAAACTGAGAAGAGTATCAGTTTACAGGTACTCAGGCAGTACTTTGCTGGGAGCCTCAAAGATGCTGCCAAAAGTATTGGAGGTAGGATCTGTTGCCTAAAACTATATAAGTCCATTCATTTTGTCAACAATGACTTTGGAACTTTAGAAACATGCAATATTCAGCCCTTTAATTCATGGCATGATGGAACTGTTAAAATGATGCATTGGACATTTTCTAGTTTGGAATCTTTTGGACATGCTCATACGATCCTTCCAGTTTTTCATATTTGTCTTCTTACTTACAAGTTTGCGCATCCATGATTTAGTTAATGACAGTCCTCTACTTTACCTTGAGCTCTCGAGCACTATCATCTGAGCTCATCATTGATTACTTATAAATTTCTTTAAACTTGCAGTTTGCCCTACAACTTTGAAAAGAATATGCAGGCAACATGGAATCACCAGGTGGCCTTCTCGTAAGATCAAGAAAGTTGGCCACTCGTTACAGAAACTTCAACTTGTGATCGATTCAGTCCATGGTGCTGAGGGTGCAATTAAACTCAGTTCTTTCTACACCAACTTCCCTGAACTTAACTCTCCAAATAATCCCGGCACGAGCAACTTCTCTGCTTCTAAAAATGATGATCATCTGCAGCAAGTAAATACTCAACCTGATGGCAGCCCTGTGACTACCACATCCAAGTCAACTTCTTCGTCTGGCAGTCATAACTCCAGCTCAAGTTTATTCTGTTCCACTGGTTCAAAGAATTGCACAACGGAGGAAAACCCTGGAGGAATGCCAAAGAGAGCACATACAGAAACAGGATTGCATGATATGGGTCAAGAAGAAACCAAGCTTCTAGTCAGATCACAGAGTCAAAAGATCCAAAGCAATCACAATTCTGTGGAACCTGTGTGTCCTTTGTCAACGAGTAGCAATCAGGTCTTGGGTAGATTTAAAGTAAAAGCCATTTTTGGGAAGGAAAAAATCCGTTTCAGCCTTCAATCACACTGGGGTTTTCGAGATGTTAAGCACGAAGTGATGAGGCGTTTCAATGTAGAAGATGTTGGTAAAATCGATCTAAAGTATTTGGATGATGATGACGAATGGGTACTTCTGACATGTGATGCTGATCTTGAGGAATGTATTGATATACATAAATTCTCTAAAAGGAGAACAATTAAAGTTTCCCTCCACCATACCAATCTTGGAAGTTCATTTGGTAGCAGCGGTCCAGCCTAAGCAAACAATATTTGCTTTACAAGTGTTTCCAGATTTGGGGTATATGGAGGATTATTGCCAGTTGCATGCATGTAAGTAGAAAGAAGGGCTTATTTCACTTTCTTTTTTAGTGTTAATAGTTGATGCGGGAAGATGGTCAATCCGCCACCCTACTAGCTATATGACATTCTTGCTTGCTGATTGCACACTGCATACCCATTGTATCCTCTTTTTTTTTTTTTTATATATATATCAATCAATGGGAATGTAATATAATAGAACATACAATTAAGAATCAAGTGAGGTTGACGTTGAGTCATGCTGATTGGGGCACTTTTGCATGGTTCCAGGTGGAATAGTCTGCCATTTCACATTCAATGAGCTGCAGAGGATACCAGCATAAACGTTTTGGATAATGTTTTTCAGTGTCTAATTTTCTATGTTCCAACCTTGTGTATTTAGTTCCAGGAGACTAGACAAACTGATTTAATAGATTTGTGTATCTTTCTTATTTAACGAAAAAGGAAATTCTGTAGTTGAATTTTGATAAAAATTAATTAGCAGATAGTGAATAAAAAAGGGAAGTGCCTATCACTAGATTGCATGAGGCTACTCCACAAAAGTTTATGTCCATTTTCATGCTCGAGTGCAGTTGCTGAATAGCAAACTGCAATTCATCAGACAAACGATGGTGGTTTTCTCCCGCAAGAAACCTGCATGCCTTACCATTTACATACACTAAGCTATACCCAGCTATAACTTTGACCCCTCCTTCCTTGGCCAACATTCTCATTTTAGTGGCATCAACCCATGAACAACCTGATGCATACATGTTTGATGCAAGCAGATAGCCAGCTGAGCTTGACGCCTCAAGTTCAACTACTTGAGGGAGGGCAATGGCACCAAACTCATAGTTTTCATAGTTCCTACAAGCACTCAACAGTGCCCCCCATGCACTTGCACCAGGCTTTACTCCAACACCTAGCTTTCCTATCAAATTCATTGCACTATCAACCTTTCCAGCCCGAGCTAACAAATCTACAAGGCAAGAGTAATGTTCTATGACAAGTTCAACCTCATGATCCCAAATTAACTCCTCAAAAAGAGAGACCCCTTCTTCTACCAATCCCCCATGACTACAAGCCGATAAAAGAGACAGTGCAGTAACTTGGTTTGGCCTCAGACCACAAACTTTCATCTCATGAAATAGGGCTAGAGCTTCATTTGGGAGGCCAATCATACCATATGCTGCAATAATGGCACTCCAGGTCACAACATTCTTGTATGGAATGCGGTCAAACACTTTCCTTGAAGATCCAATGGAACCACATTTTGAGTACATATCTAAGATGGCAGTTCCCACTACTACATTAGATTCCAACCCTCCTCGAATAGCAATGCCATGAGCCCATCTTGATCTTTTCACATCTGCAGAAAGAGAGCAAGCTTCAAGAAGATTTAACATGGTAACAGCATTGGGCCGTTCAGAAGTGTGGCTCATCTCTCGGAAAACAGCAATTGCTTCGTCAGGCATGCCACAGTGGGTGAAGCCAGCAATCATGGTGCTCCAAGTTACTGCATCTCGTGTTATCATATTATTGAATTGACTCCATGCATAAGTTATGAGATTGCAACTTGCATATGCATCGATCAAAGAGTTTGTAACCAACTCATTCAACTCAAAACCTTGTCGAAGTATTCTGGAATGTATCAACTTGCACTGGTAAGGGTCAAGGAAGAACTTACATAACTGCAGCAGATTGACCAGAGTCACCTCATCAGATTCAATTCCAGCCTTGTGCATTGAATCAAATAAAGTAAGGGCCTCAGGATGCATCTGATTCTGCACAAGTCCAGACAACAAAGAGTTCCAGGACACGACATTCTTCTCAGGAATTCCCCCGAAAACTCTCAATGAAGAATCAATGTCATTGCATTTAGAATACAAGTCAATCAGAGAGTTGTGTACGAACAAGTCATAACCCATACCTCTAGAGATAACAAATCCGTGAATTGACTCTCCCAGTCTAATGGCCTTCAATTTGGTGCAGGCTTTGAGTACACTTACCACAGATTGTCCGTCTGGTGGTTCCCCAAAATCAATCATCCGTTGAAAAAACTCCAGGGCAAGCACTGATTCGTCCTCACTTTGGGCATAGGTAGCAATCATGACACTCCAAGAAATAACGTCTCTTTCAGTCATTTCATCAAAAAGGTTGTGCGCAAGGTGCATTTCAAATTGAGCATAGAAACTGAGGAGCGAATTGTGGATGGAAGTAATACTTGAATACCCAGCACGAATGGTAGAAGCATGGATCGTCCGGCCAGCCTCAAAAGCTGCAAGATTGCGACAAGCCTGAATGACAAGTACAAAGGTGGAGATGTTGGGTTCAAAACCTGCAGCCCAAGCCTGAGTGAATAAGCATAGTCCTCGGGGAGAAGCTAATAATAATAAATGGCCATGAATGATTACATTCCAGGAAACTGAATCTTTGTTGTCCATGCAGTTAAAAACCACAAGCGCAGAACCCAAGTCTCCAGATTTAGCATAGAAGTCCATCATAGAATTACCGACGGAAGTGAAAGCTAAGAATCCCTGCTTAACCAGAGAGGCGTGGATAGAGTTGCCGTGGCCGTGTGTAGCGGAGAGATTTAAACATGCTTTGAAAAGGATAGGGAAAACGGAATGGTCCATCAACTCAACCCTGGTCTTGTTCAATTCACGGTAGTAGAGAAGAACGTCTTGAGATTTGCCATGGAATAGTAATTCTCTTAACCTACTACACCAGTTAGAGTTCCAACGGACACGCATTTAGTTTAGACTGAGATGGGCTGATCTCTTTCAACTTCAATGCAATATTATTATCATCACAACTCCCTACACTACACTACTCTACTCTTGTATTTTATATTGTTTAATAGGGGCATGGGATAAACAAGTTTGGCAAAATTATGGTTCAATCCTATCCAATCTGTTTAGCTTCGATGTCTGTCAAGCACAAAGGATCTACAAGTTACTTCTATATGAAACAGTGACAAACAACCATATATATGCATCATCCTTCTCAAAAGTTATAGCCACTATTTTGTTAGCTGTTGAAAAACAACTACACCCATACACAACATCATTAGGGTACTCTGTTGCTCTCCCAAAATTTCTTGATACCAGAAACTTCAAGATTGACTATACTAGGATTTTTTTCTCCCTTTTCCGATAGCGCAAGGTGTAAGAGAAACTGATTATAAGCAAAACTAATTTGCAAAAACGTGATTCTACTACTCCTTGATGTTACAAAGTTGAAGGTATGAATTATTGAACATTACATATCTAGACCAATAAGCTTTGTACTTGGCAATTGCAAGATCCAACCATGGTTTGTAATTTCCATTGTAGTGAACAACTGCCCCATTTTGTATTTCTGTTTTATTCAAGGCAGGATCATAGCCAAGACCCAAGACATGCCAGCTCCGATCCAAGGGATGAGTCAAGTTATAGAAAGTTATTAACCCTGGAGGTAAGGTTCCAAGTTTCCAAAGTGTTCTATCCTCATTCTGCAATGGAAAACATAGTCAGCTGAAAGATCACACAAGGATGAAGAATTTTTTAAAATAGAAAATGACTTTTCTCCTCTAACAGAAGTACTTCTGAACATCAAATGCATTACTACTCTTTGCAAGAGCAAAGCTTGCTATGGTAGACTGAATTTTCAAGGCTAGCCCAATTTTTGGAAGAAAATCAACTGCATTTCCTCACTTCTCAAATCAAGAGGTCAAGGGAACAGATCGATGCATTCTAGACATGGTAGATCGTAGAAAGAGTTGCAAAAAGCCTGCTTAGTAGGCAATCATTCATATTTCTAAGAAGATTGCAATAAAGCTCACCGGAAAATGAGCAATCATGCATAGGGTATGCAACTTTTCCTTTTATGGGGTAAGGAGGCACTGAGTATAACAAGAGCTGCAACCTAATACAACTATACAATACGATGTTTCCCCAAAACTAGAAATAGGGGTCACAAATGATATAGCTCTTCTCATTAATGTGCCATTTCATCACCTCTACTCAAAACCTAAACAAGTCATTCTAATGTCCAGGAGACATCATTGATGTCATACAGCCTTCTTGTCTTCCATTTCATATTAGTATCCACCTTCTAATTTCCCATTATTCTATTATCTGGGATCTACCATCATTCTGAAGACTAAACAATGCCCAAATTTGAAAAAAAGTCAAATTCTATCTCCACTTATGAACCCATTTACTCAAATGTAATTAAGCTTCAACTAGTACCTTAAAAATCATGCCTGAGACACCAATACCAGGAGTAGGAAGTACATTTCCTGGCAACAAGCAAACGATGGTACTTACAGCAATAACTCAATGTTTCAGTCCCATCAGTCTTCTAAAATACTTTCATTTAATTCTTTGTTTTTCATGATCATGGATCGTTTGGTATGGGGGAAGCGATAATCAAGGATATCCCATGGGATTTTTCTGAGACAAGTAAGCAAGGATATCCCATGGGATTATCTTATCCCACCTATATGGGATATTAATCCCACCATTTTAGTACAAATAATGGGATAAAATTATCCCGGCATAAGCTAATACTTCAAACCAAACATGGAATTAAGTTAATCCCAAATTTTATCCTGGGTTTATCATCATTATCCCACATACCAAACGACCCCTATGCACATTGATTTTCAATAGTAGTTCTATAGTTCAGATTTTTAATCTGCAGCCTTTTCACCTTATTTGACCATCCAAAGCAGCACCAGCAGCATCTTTATTTATACAAAATCTAGTTTAGTGCACTAATGTCTTAATTTTCAAGTAAAATCATATAAACTTGATTAATTAAAACTAAAACAGACATCAAGGCAATGCTTTTCTAGTCTTATAGCCACCCCCGTAGCAGGACCTCTTAAACTCGTGAAAAACTATATGAAATTCGGGGAGATGTGTTTGATGGCCCATTGCAAATAATTATTTAATAGCTATATGGCCCTTTTATAACACTAGACATCGGTAAATAAAATACATAATATCTTTGTAGGGTCATTATATTCTATACAAACTGCAATTGGCAATAGGAGATCATATGGAAAACAAATGAAATATAAAATTGTAAAACATTCATGATGATGATATAAAAGAATTCAGCTAATTGTGATTAGAAGCACCAAGTAAAGAATATGTAATATTAACTTACCCTTTCTTGCCAATAATGATATATTCCTGTAATGTTGCGCCTCCTCCACTCCTTCAAATCAAAGATATTCATGCCAAAAGCCCATCCACAGGCATTTGGATCAAAGTTTTCAGATATCTTCGGGTTAGAAAAGTTAAGATATTTATCAAATCTATGGAAGCTTTCTTTGCATGTCTCCACGGCACCATTGACCATCCCTTGTAAGTTGACAGACCAAAGAGGTGTCAGATCCTTTTGAACTACAATATCATCATCCAGAAATAAGATTTTCTCCAGCTTTGGATATACTTCAGGAAGGTAAAACCTAAGATGATTCAGCATTGACAAATACTTTGGGTTCCTATATTTAAGATTGTCGGTGCCAGATGTAAGGGAGTTTGACTGATGTGCCTTGAAATAATACTCTATCATTCTAGCAGATTCAAGCTGACGTAGTACAGGGCAGTAAGTAGAATTGAGCCATGTAAAGTCATCGACATTCTCAACGTGAATTGTTGCAGCAGCAGGAGGATTAACAAGGAACCACATTTTCATAGCTGGGAAGTTCAATTTATCTGTCACTATATGGAAAACGTGCTTTTCAGGCTCCTTCGCATGCAGTATAGTAGAGTTTACAACAACAGATGTGGCAAGTACATTATCAGAAAATATTGCATAATGGAACAGAGAAGGATCTTCAAGCTTTTCCTTGTTTGGAAATTCTCTCTCTTCATATCGACGTATAAAGAAGTCTGTCGTGAGAAGCAAAGGAAGACAATGCAAAGGCCTGGGAACAGTTTTAGCAGCCAACTGTATCAAGAATGCACTCCTTTTCTTCAGCATATTTAGACCAGTTTCGGCCGACTGAAGCATGACTCTTAGTTTCCTTGCTAGTGTAATGCAATCGTATAGTTGATCCTTTGCAGCAGCTAAAACATGGCCCATATCCTTTGCTCGGTCAAGTGCACTGTACATAAACCCAATATTAAAGACAAAACCTAACATCTAAACTTCAATAACCAAAACTGGAAAGCACCAACCTTGGTTGAAGTTCAGAATCAGCAGTGGCTTCTCCAATTGCAAGCTGGCTTTCTCTAGAATGATTTATCAAAGAATCATACAGAGAATCTTCATTCTTAACTTTTGCAATGGTAGCATACGCTCTTGCCATGATGATTTGGTCACGCATAAGTTTAAGGGTAGAGTCAGAATTAGGGTTTTCATATTCTTTCCTCCATATATTGTATATACCCTTGCTAGTTGTGTCAAGCTCTTTAGCTCGCTCAATAGCAGCGTCTTGAATTTGGTTTTCAATTTCCTTATCTTGTTGGATCAGCTCTGCAGTCCGTCGTTCCCTTATATCGTTTCTTAGCCTCTGAAGAACCAGGAAGTATCTATGAATTCAAATGACTGAAAAAGCACATGCAAGACAAATGTAGAGATATAAGATTAGCCACCTGGCGCTTGAGTTTGATTGGATGTAGCTCAGATGCTAATTTATGCTCCATAACAATTCCATACTGATTTGCATTTCCATAAGAGTGATCAATAGTGCCCTCAAGCTTATCCGGTTTCTGAGACTTCCCTTCCACTTCCTGTGAACAAGCAGTAAACAGAAGTTGCAGTCTACATCAACAAATTCAAAACTACTATATCCTCATCATTTCCAAGTGTTGTGTCCATATAATATCACCAAGTAGAGGAATTGTGGAAGTTTGAGAACTGGTAAGTGAACACAGACCTTGGAACTCTTCTTGTGATCACCATCCTCATCACTAGGATACCTCCATACCCATGAAGTTGACAAGTCCTTGGAGTTTATGCTCCTAGTTCTAACAGCACCATTAACATCAGTATATGTTACAAGGATGTCAATATTCTGCATTAAGAGCAGAAGATCATCATAATATGGTATATATAGATTAAAACCAAATAATCTAAAGCAGAAAAGAATTTTCTAGTCATTATATACTGTTTCTCTAAATCAAAACCACTTGATTACTTTCTTATCAGGACGAGCAGCACTATTTCGACCATGTTCCTGCAAAGAAATTTCAGAGTTAATGTCATATAAGGGCAAATGTAATGCAAAAATAGAAGAAGTCTTTCAAAGAGGCAAAAATCAAGAGACATATGTAATGGCTTTCAAATAAATTCAAGTAATCAAATTGAGAGCCAAGTGCACAATTTTCTGGTCCCTTTTCGTAGCATCATATCAACATTTCTACAAATGCAATGTTAGGAAATTTAAGCTATGTCAAAAGAAAAAGAAAAAGACAACTCCAGTTAAAAGCTAGGTTAACAAAAAAACACTTTCCTAATTTATGTTTAAGAAATAAAAGATCCTCCAAGTATATCATCGGATAGTGATGTTTGAATTCTTTCTCCGAGAAAGGGAGAAGTACTGCACAGCTAATAAAGTACGGGTTGTAACATAACCAGATTTTCAATATACCAAAAACAAGATAGGTGATGCTGATCCCCAGGATCAACATAGCTTGAACTGGCACCAAACAAGTTGCCTAAACAGTTACCAGATATCAGAGGATGAACTCAATATAGGAACTCCAGTTTTGTGCTATAAGAGCAGATGGTGTAGCAATATTCTGCAATTTTATTGGGATATTTTCATGGATTTGCGGCGGATGAAGATGTTCAATAAATAGGAATTTGACATGGTAGAAGCATGACTGACACATAGAAACAAAGAGAAGTATTATTAACCTTTCTATTAACGCATTGCGGACAATCATATGAGGGGAAAAGACCTTTCGGCTCTCCATGACTGAAAATAGGAGGAAGAGAAGTCAGGGAACATTGATTAGTTGCAGCAGCAAAATTTACAAAGTATAGAGAAGGAGTGATCTTACAGTGATGATACATTTGACAATTCTACTCGGGAAGGTGCAACCTGAATAAAAATGAGAATAAAAAGCTAAAGTGAAGCTCCAATAATATAATTTTGAATCGAAACACCATATATGTAAATCTCTTTCAAAATTACGAGATCCAGGGCGACACTAACACGATTAGTGAATAGAGATTCAGGAAGAAAGAGAAACCAAATAGATGTGCTACGATATAACTCAGAGAGAAAGATTTACCAGGAAGAAGAAGATTAGCAAGGTAGGGGAGATAAACGATCCTCTAAAACGAGCCTCCATGGCCAACCAAATTAGAAAGAAGAGACCTCTGACAGTGGGATCAATTGTATTTGTATTGCGCCATTTTTCTGCATTTCCCAGATGAACAACTATTTTTATTTTTATTTTTGTCAATTTGTTAAAAGAGGGACAAATTTCTGCATTTTAGCGTAATATTTCATTTTCGGCAACAATATTAAAATCACTTAATTCAACTTTTCTATGGCTCAGTAAGAGTACTATAATACAAATTAGTTAGTTTGAAGCAGAAGGCAGCTCAAAATACCTAATAGTATCTTTTTAATTTCTTGAGATGCAAAATTAAATTTATTTTTATGGAAAGTATTGAAAATAATATAAAGTTTATTGTTCATCCACCTGTTTGCTTCAAAATACTTTTTTCACTCATCTATTGGTTTCAAAATACTGGCATCCACCTTTGCGTTCAAAATTAATCACTTATTTAACAGTTTTTAATTTAATTTTAAAACCGTTAAATAAGTGATCAATTTTGAAGACAAGGGTATTTTAGAGTCAATAGATGGATAAGGAGGGTATTTTGGAACCAATAAGTAAATGGAGGATAATTTTGTACCATTTTCAATACTTCAAGAATATTTTAGACTCTTTTTCGTTAATTTTCTTATAATTGATTTTTTTTTATTCATTAGATTTGTCAAGCTTCTTTTAATATTTTTTTCTAACAAGACTATTCAATATTTTAAAAAAAAAACATATTTTTTATTACTAAAAAAAGCCCCTCAATTTATCATTGCCAAGAGCCTTGCAATTTTTTCTAACCTTGTAGAGAGCCGGCAGTTGAGTATTCACGTTATTGCTAAAATAATGCTACTGAAAAATTCTTTTTGTATCAGTTATAGTAGGTAAGGTTAATTTATTTGTAGTGCTTTTGATGATATTTAATAAAATAAAATAGTGCTACTTATTAATTCTCTCTTACATCCTTTAGGTTGAGGTCGACTTATCAGTTTGTAAACAATAAAATTCGTGTTGAGAAAACAATAATCAAGAACGAAAAATTATAGCAACAATTAATTTTATTATTTCAAATGCGAATGTTACAATTTCTATAATTTCTCTGAATTCGCCTTTTCAAATATAAATTTAAGGGCTTTAAAGCTTGTTCTTGAATCTATGATAAACTTGAACTTTATCTTGATCTTGATTTTTATTTAAACTTAAGGGCTTCGAGCTTGTTCTTGAATTCGGTGGTCTTGATCTTAAACTTAAGGGCTTCGAGCTTGTTCTTGAATTCGGTGGTCTTGATCTTGATCGTTCTTGAACTTGAATACTTGAATTCTTAAACTTGTAGCTTGTAGAGAATTAAATAGCGTTTGTACCACAGAGTTTCTCTAGCTTCTTTGTTTAGAATTTTTTTGTCTTCTAAATTATGAGGACCCCTATTTATAGTTTTAGAACAGAGGAGTTGCGATTGGAATATGATTCCGTTCAGCCAATCAGATTTAAGTGACATGACATTTGGGCTTTATGGAGTGGGCTTGTCATCTTTGACACATGTCATGATTCTATTGCTTTTCTTATTTGACTTGGCATGCCACATCATCTGCACACGTGGCGCCAAGATAAACTCTAAAAATAGATGAGATTGGGTTTAACAAATTGAGTTCATCCAATGTAGCCCAAATCAATTAATTTAGACTTTAATTAAATCCATATTTATTAAACTTAAATATTTAACTCAATTATATCAATCCACAATGTTTATTTGGATTAATATATTTATGAATTCAATATAATTCGAATCATTTTATAAATTTATATTTAATAAATTTTAAATGATTATACAGTTATTTATAGTGTTTTTTATGTTATTACAATTAGTTTTTTTTAATTGTAATAAATTGTTTATAGATATATCTTTTTTGTAATGACCGAAGATTATGAAATCTAGATTTGTTTTTATATATATATAAATAATTTAAATTCCATCAAACGTCAAACATGAGTAATATATTGAAGTGTTAATATTGTGCATATGAATTAAACTTTGAGAAAATTCTTGATAAATACTAATATGAAATGTCCATCTAAGTTATCTCAAATGTACAGTAATTTCATGAGATAGTGACCCATGTTTTGACAATTATCTAGAAATATCACTTGTGTTTGTTTTAGGACCATAATATTGTCCATCTTTGCCTATTTTTCTCAAAATATACTTGACACAAAAAAAAATACATTATTTCTCTCCTACTAAGGTGACATGTCACATTTTTTAACTTATTATTAATATTTTTCTAATTCTTTTAAAGAATAGGAGGAACCACATATCTTCTTGAAGAATCAAAGAAGCTCATATCACAGTTCTTAATATAATTTTTTCTAGTGGATATAATATATGGGCTTGTCTATTTTTTTTTAAAAAGATCTATATATATATAATAGGAGAAGTAAAAAGTGTCATATGTCAGCACCACAAATATTCAAGAATCTTAATTATTCAAAAAACATTTTAAATATGCTCTAAAATACAATTAAAAACAGGAATTTCAATATATCTATTTTAAATAGAAAATAAAAGTTCTTTTGTTAAAAAAAACAGCAACGGCAAAAATGGATGATTTTTAAATGTCTCTAATTTCAATTTTAAAGGAAACAAATGAAATTGAACTATTTTTTTTACAAAAATAAAAACAGTAATGGCTATTACAAGAAAAAAATGAAATATCTTTAAATGCTTCAAATTTCAATTTTTAAGGTTAATAAAATGAAAATTGAAAATTGATTTATTTTTTTAAAAAAAATTATAATGTCTATTTATATTTATCACACTTTAAGTAATTTTAGGGAATGCTCCAACAAAATGAAATGTAGAAATATCTATCTAAATAGGAGAAGAAAAAGTGCACCATAAAAAAATTATATAATTAAAAAGCTTATACTAAAAAATAATAATTATCATTCAAAAATTAAAAAACTTATTTTTAAAAAAGAGTTGATACATTCTATTACTAGTTAGTTGTAGAAATGGGATACCTTGTTTTTCATTCAATTTTAAAATTTATCTTTATATATCTAAAAAACAAAACATTTTCAAAAAAACATAATAAAAAATAATATTTTTTTGAATAAACATACTGCAACCTAATGTTTAAATAGGTTTAAAGCATATTTTTCTTTAATAATGATAAAATAAATAACGTAACATGACATGACATCCTAATAGAAGAGGCATAAGTGATATTCCTAGTTAATTTTCCAAATATGTGTGACTATCTAGGGAAATTACTCCTCAAATGCATACACTCCATTATGTGATTATGAGGATAATTTTGTGTTTTCTCCGTTTTGAAAAGAGTGATCTAATTTCCTTTTTAATCATTTTCAAAAATAATGGACGCTTTCACTTTTTGACAATACTTTATCTTCAACTTTCCTCGCAACATTTTTAAGGCCACAAGATTAAATGACAGTTTGTTATATTTGACATAACTTTAATCTAGAACCACAAGATTAAAAAAACTTGTTTCTTTTTTTAAACTTCATTCTAAATCAAACTAGCTCATTATTTTTTAAGTTGTCACAAATGCCACAAAAAGAATATGCAAATCCTGATTACTTCACTACAACGCCCCCTTTAGGATTCTGTTGGATGTGTAAGTTCTTTCACAATATTTTATTTAAAAGTTAATAGTATGTCAAAATAAATTCATTATTTTTTGAGAAACCTAAATTGAGACAAATCATATATTACAAGTGGAAGACTCTAAAGTAAAAAGTTGAATTACTATTTTACCTCTCTACTAAATTAAAACTTTTATAATTTTATATATATATATATATATATATATATATTTAATCTTCTTATTCTCATTTCAAAATCTTGACCTTTCAAATTTCTCACACAATTTTTAAAAAATAAAAATGAGTATTCCCTAAAGACAAGAAATTAAATGAGATTCATGTATCTTTTAAAGTTAAATTTTATTTTTTTATATTTATTTTAATAATATTTGACCTTTCAATTTTTTCATGTGTCTTTTCATATTTCCGTAATTTTATTCTATAAATTTAACTTTTTCAAGAAAAAATTTTATTTACTTTTCCTACAATTCTTGTGTGTAGGAACTCTAAAATTTATTTCACTCATTAAATTTTCTTTCTTTCATCTTCAAATAGTAACTTTTTTTTTATTCTTCATTCATATTTTAATATATAAAATTTCCCTTTTATTGTTAGTCGTACGTAGTTTAATGTTCTCAATGATATTTATTCTGAGCAATCTTTTTACATTCATTAATTACTCTATAGTGTGTATCATAAGGTGAGTTTTTCCAATTATTTCATGTGTCTTTCTTTGGTTAGGATTCTCTTCCAAAAAAGAGTCTACTTCAAATAAATCTATTCCAATATAATTGATTTAGCTACAAATATTGACCAACACCTTTTGTATTATTGCTAAACTAGCAGCATATTCACTTTTTTAGTATAATATCTATTTATGAAAAGTTCCTGTTGCAATAAAACTTAAATTCAGATATAAGTTGATCTGTGCATGCATTTGCATATTTGAACTTTGAAATGTAAACATGGACTATGTTTAGAGCACACAGGTTCATAGTTGACTGTGTATTCGTGTAGTTTAAAATGATATGAAATACACGTGCATTGCACGTGTTCGAAAACTAGTAAAAAAAACATATCAAAGAGAAACCTGAAATGGATCCATGAAGCAGAGATTAGAATAGAGATATAGTGATTCTAGGAATACATATATCTCAAAATAAGAGATGCATCAACTCTGTGTGCAGTGCAGGTGTTGATTATCTGCTTCCATTTTCTAACTTCTCATCACCAGGCACACTATCATGCATACTCAACCATATCCATAACAAAGGGGATTGGAAATCTTGAATCGCCTTAAATGTACAAAATAATGAACTCTATACATATATATCACTGAAACAAGCACAACCCAATGCCATACAGAGCCTTAACACTTCATCTCACAAGCTCAGACGTCAGGCAACCAAAAAAAAAAGAAACAGAACATTTGTATTTGGACAACTAAATTAACATAGCTATAATAGTATTATCATATTCATGATGCTCTTTTTGGGAGTGGATAGGCTCGATTTACATCGTTCCTTGGATGAAGTGAAGAACGATGGTGCAAAGGTGGCTGACCGTATCTATAAGCAGTCTGATGTCTGGAAGTTATTCTAGGCTCCTTGGGTCTTTCATTGGCTGCCTCAATCTGTTCTAGTTTCTCCACTACTTCTTTCATTCCTGGTCTGGTTTTTGGTTCAGGTCCAAGACATGACAGTGCCAGTTGTGCTATTTGAACTGCAGCTCTGGATGGATATCTTCCTTCCAGCCGCGAATCCATCTTGTCCTTCAACTTCCTTCTATCAGATAAATGTGGCTTAATCCATTCAACCAGATTATGCTGGTTGCTTGGGCGGTTTGTGTCTAGTGCCCGTAGACCTGTTAACATTTCCACTAGCACAACACCAAAACCATAGACATCGCTTTTCACGTACAAGTGTCCTGTCAAAAAATAACGATACAAGTATGAACATACATTTGACTGTATATATGTTTGAACCTGTAAGCACAAGATGTGATTCCAGAGAAGTAGAACTACCAAGTATAGAAGCCAAGCAGACACTACGTTACCTGTTTGAACATACTCGGGAGCAGCATAACCATACGTTCCCATCACCCGTGTTGTCACGTGTGATTGACTAGCCGAAGGACCGAGTTTGGCCAAGCCAAAATCTGATATCTTTGCATTGTAAGACTGAAAGAATGTCATGTAACAGTTTTATCAGTAACAACCTTTTCCCTGATGTTCTCACTCTCTGAGATCAAGAGCTCAAAACTTGAGGCAAAACATTAAGTCAACCAAAAAGGTGCTCAGGGTTTGTGGTGACTGAAATAATCAACTTGGATCAATTTGTGATTTCTATATTACTTGTGATAAGCACGACAATGTTCCAGGGGAAAAGAAAAAGAAACGTACGCCATCAAGTAATATATTTGAGGCCTTGAAGTCTCTGTAAATGACTTGCTTCTCTGATGCATGTAGGAATGCCAAGCCTCGGGCTGCACCAATCACTATTTGAAGCCTTATATTCCACGGAAGTGGCTGAACAGCAGAGCCCCCTGAGCAAAGCGAAGAGAACAAATATGTTTAGGTGGAGAATAAAATAGGCACATTGCCGACTGATTTATTCTAGAAACTCCTATAATATATCATTGAGAGCATCTCTTACTTCCAAAAAGATGGTTCTCCAAGCTGCCCTTTTGCATAAACTCATAGACAAGCAATAGTTCTTTATCTTCCCAGCAGTATCCCAAGAGTTTGACCAGGTTAGGATGTGAAAGTGTTCCAAGAAAATTAACCTCACACTGCATAAACAAATGAAATGAAATACACAGAGAGCCTTGGGAGAAAGAGAGGAGATACAAGCAATAAAACAAATTTTAACTTGTACATATTTAGTTCCTAGTCTAGACAATGACGAACAATAACTGAGTGAAATTTAGTATAGAAAGCAATCGCTTGTGGTCGAAAGGTTAGCAGGATCACAGATTTTAATAATAGTAGAAAGGTGCATAAGAAATTAAAAGCAAAGATCCATTCTATTTATTAGTGGAGAAGGAGGATATATGAATTTACCTGCCACTCTTCAAGTCCTTGTAAACTTTCAGAATTCAATTTCTTAACAGCAATGACAGTGCCAGTGGCACTAGCTGTCCTGGATGAAGCCCTGTCATCAAGCCAACCCTTGTAAACTTTGCCAAAACCGCCTTCTCCCAGGACGGTATCACTTCTAAAATTTCTTGTAGCGGTCTTGAGTTCGGTAAAAGAAAATGTCCTTAAATTAGGATGTGGTAATATCTGTCCATAAACCTCATCAACTCCACTGGCTGCTGAGAATTGGCTATTCCCGGAGACGTTGCTTACCGTGGAGGAGGATGTAGTTGTTGTCGTCTGTGATGATATGCCTACAATTAAATTAATTTTATTATTCGGAAGTAAATCAAATTCTGATTCATATTACGAATGGTACCTGAGCTGAAATGGGATGGGCTCTGACTATTAGAACTGAAACAAACTCCCATATCTCTATCTGATGATTATTAAGCAAGTTATTCTTCGGCTGAAAGAGGGATGGGATGAGATTGAGATCTCTTCTCTTCTATTCTATTCTATTTGCAGCTTCTCATCGATCCATCATCCAACTTTGTTTGACTTGACTCAAATTAATACTTTTTTTATTCAATCAACACTCTTCGTTAGTCGTAGTTGGTTGTTGTAAATTTTCAACACCACAGTTTATGACTTGGTCTTTTCCACCTTATTCAATTATTATTTATAAATATAACAAACAAACGATTCAATTATTCTATTTAAATTACCTTGGGCGTAATTTTACCGTTAATATTATAAAGATACTTGTGTCCATAACCAAACATTAGGTAGAGCAAATCTCAATCTGTGAGATTGGAGTCCAATTATTCTCTACTCCAACATTAATTAATTATGCCATCCATATTCAATTTAGCCTTTTGATATTTTTATGTGCAAAATTAGCGTAGATGAGATGAAAAATTAAAAAAGTTAGTATGCTAATTTAAATTTAAAAGATCATAGAAAATGTGAGTATGAAGTAATAAGAAGAAGCAAATGTATGTGTAAAAGAAAAAATAGCAAGTCGAGTCAAAGGACAAGGGCGGAGATATTATTTAGTCAAAGTCTCCTATGCCCGGTCTCTTCCTTTTATACCATTATTATTACGTCTATATTTGACTTGGGCCTCATTTAGTTTTGTGCATTTACACACTTTAGGACATTTCCTTTAACATCAAATTTTTAACTTTTAAATTACAGAAAAAAAAAATTGTTTGGGAAAGTGCATTGGGATAGCTTTGGAGTTAAGGTTTTTTTTTAAAAAAAAAATCATTATATTGATTGAAACTTGAATTTGTGTTTGAATAGATTTAAACTTTTGTGAATAAGAATATGAAGAAGTCGTAATTTTTTCAAAAGTTGAAATTTACATATTCAAGTAGGAAAAGGGGGAAAAAAAAGAGGTTGTTATAAATACATTGAATTAAGTGGATAGTCCATAAGGTTGGTACATGAATAACCATTCATATTCATTAGGTTACATGAATCTTTTTGGATAAGAATGTATCTATTTATTATGATACTTAATATGGTGACCTTTGGAGTGATTTCTCACTCTATAAATAGGGTTGTTCATTCACTATTGTAATAGATACATATGAGACTTGAATAAGAAGAAAATTTCCCTTCTTCTATCTATTTCTCTTGTCTTCATCTCTTTATATTTATATTGTCACGAGCTTGATTTTATAACAGAGGCATCGTTGAATTTTGTTTTCTGTTTGGTGTGAAGAGTAATGAGTACAGGTTTATGCGTGTGAATTAAATAGTATACTTTTCCACATATTTGGGCCCATATATTTTGTTCATTCTGCATCATGCCCCTGTGGGTAAGTTTGGACTTGTATATCATTATAGATTCAACAATCAAAACTATCTACTTTTCCTTTACTAATCAGAAACCATGAATGGTTTATATATATATATATATATATTCAACAATCAAAACTATCTACTTTTCCTTTACTAACCAGTATCCATGAATGGTTTATACATATATATATATATGATTGTAGATATTAAAATTTTGTAAAATTTTACAAGACGTGTTCAATTCAAATTGAAATTTTAGATGTATGTTCAATTTCAATTAGAAATCTTGAAGACTATTCAATTTTAAACCATATTTTATGTATCTCGAATATTTTGCAAACTGATAAAATATTTAGCTCAAATCTAAATCATCATAATTCGAGAAATACGCTACTAACGGTCATCAAATCAAATCAAGAAATTATATCATTTTAAAAAATAATATGAATATTGCTTAATAAAAAAGCTAGTCACTCTTAATATTTCTCAGTTAATATCTTTTAATTAAACTTATATTATGTTTGGATCATTATTATCAATCTATTGTATCGTTATTATACCTACAATATTTATTTTGATTCTTACTTAAAATGTACTGTACTATATTATTAAAATTTAATTATTACGTAACAATGAAAATTCCTATTTTATTGAACAACCGATTTGATGTAAACACAGGATTTAAGAAATTTTCCAATTTTATATTTAAATAATATATCAAAATGCTATTTTACCTTTTAACTTAATGATTTAAATTTAATCAACCTCCTACTCCAAAATAATTAAGAATATTTTAATAAATTTATAAGTCACAATACAATACATACTATCAAATCAAACAATTAAAATATTATTAAACAACAAACAATACAATCTAGCCACTGGATGACATTGCAAGTTAATATGCTTTCACTAGACTAAACGAAAAAAAACCCTTAAATAATTCGAAATAACTCATATTTACATTTAAACAATATTTCGGACTTAAAACTAAACAAACCTTCCCGTCAAAAGGGTTGGGTAAGAAGTACCCTTATTCTTATTGTTAAATGTCATATGGTGCCCTTCTATTATTAGCACATAGAAATATGAAAGAGGAAGCGTCACTATCAAATTGATTTACAGCACAATACATTACTTGATAGAGTACTCTTGAATTGAGGAACAAATTTTGAAAGAGAATTTCAAAATGACCATTAAGTTATCATCAACAATTCTTAACTTGCAAAAACTCTTTCGAACGTGTTTTTTTACTCCAAATTTTGGGAAGTTCCTTTATATAAGGCAGAGAAGCATCATTTCATTCTTCGAAGTGATCTCACTGAACGGGATACACATAATGAATTTGAAGGGTTGAACAAATTGAAAAAAACCCCAAAGTTGTGAGACAAAAATTAAATTTAAAGAAAGGCCGGAGTACCATAGTAGCTAGAGCTGAATTAAGGCATCTCTTTTACGTATATATATGCCTTCTTTATGAAGGTTAAGCTTTATATCACAACAGTAAGCAACAGCTTACACCGATCAATCTCGATCATGAATCCCAATTGACTTCCTTTAGGACATTGCATACAGATACTATGAGCCTCGGAGGTCATACATGAATTTTAGAGAATTATTATGATGAATACATTTGGGTATAGATGTGAGTTTGGATGTAATTTTACATGTTTTTTGGGTAATAAACAAGGAGCATCCACTTACAGAAATAAGGAGCCACCACCCCTCATAAGAAGATATCAAGCAAAAAAATCGAACAAGTCATACCAACAATCTAGTTGCAAATTCTAGAAACTAAATTGGAGTGTACTATATCTATTCTCTCCCTAATCGCCCTTTGGGTCTGTGCTTTATATGTATGTTCATACCAACAATCTAGTTACAAATTCTAGATACTAAGTTGGAGGAGTGTACTATATCTACCCTCTCCCTTCGGATCTGTGCTATACATGTATGTTCACTGAAAATCATAGCACCATAAATTGCCGCAGCTACTTCCTTTTGGAAGCATTGTAGATTATGTTGGGGATAACGAATACATACGCATCTGATAATAATTAAAAATAATTTGGAGCGAACGTGTCTCCGTCTCAAAATTAAAGTTGGAAAATGGTACCCAAGTTTACTTTGATTGGGAACATATTCATTAGATACTAGTACTTGCACAAACGAACAATTAAATTACACATAGGTTCGCACTTTCAGGGTGACCACAATTATATTCAATAGAAACTCGCTCTGCTAATGAAGATCCAGGGAGTAACTAAGCGGCACAGGTGGGACAGGCGCAGCCAGGACCGCACTTGCAGTTAGACTTTCCAGCAGCGGCGGTTGTGCCTTCACTCTTTGAACATGTGCAAGGATTGCATCCACAGTGCTCTCCGCATGAGCACCTCTTGTGCTCCATATTTGCATCAGACGATGCGCACCTGCATATAGTGTAATTTAATAGCATGCACTCTCAAATCTCAAATAGGATGATGTGATGTACCTGCAAGACGTTCCACCCGGGCACGGACAAGGACAACCACACCTCTCATTGCATGTACCACTGCTTCCTCTTACATCAGCCATATCGATGGATGGATGGATGTACCTGCACCAGATATCCATTCTCAAACTAATATAATTAATTAAACAGAAACAATAAAAATGCAACAAATTAAGGAGAGACCACTTATATCCCACCTACACAAAATTTGTTGATGGGATTCAGAAAGTCTCTTTAATTATATATTGAGTGAAGCAGCTCCACCTGCACGACACCTGCCTATTACGTGTCAACCTGCCCGCCCACTTCTCTTTCTCTTTTGCCACCTACTCATATATGCTTACGTAACATTTTTCATTCTTTTGTTATTAGATACCATAAAAAATTAAGAGATTTTATAAAAATATACGTATTTATCAATAAAGTTTGTCCCCGTAATTTCATTAGTTGCTATAAAAAGTTCCTGAAGAAAAATATTAAAAGTCTTAGAATTATTGCTTACAAAAACAAAAAATATTTAAAAGGTGTGAGGATACATGATCTATTTTTTCTCATCTAGTAACGGAGAAAAGGTGAAGCTTAATTATCTATATCTTTTTCATAGCCAAATTATTCTAACATCAAGATCTATTGACCAATCTGATATTGAAGTGACCAAAATATTGATTATGTCTAGTATTTGAGTTTCATTCCACATTATTAGAAACGGAAGTCTCCAACAGAACAGCTTCTACCATATTCAGCTGGGATAAACATTTTCACTAATAATATTTTTAATACTAAATTACATTAAAAAAATAAATGGAAAAAACATTCAAATTAAATTTTTTTTGCATAATGCTAAATTTAATTATCGAAAAGTTCACAATAGCATTTTTGTGTATCTAAGAACAATAATTAGCAAGGAAAGACTTGATTTTTATGGAATCTGTTAATTTTCTGATAAATTCACATACAATTAGAAGGATGAATATTTAGTTTCAGAATGAAGTATAGTTTAAGGATGACTTCGATCTAATTACTTTTCCATTTTGACAAATCAAGAAAAGACAAATTTTTTTTACTTATTACCCTCAAATCAATACCTAGAAAAAGTAGGATGTTTTAAAAATCTTAAACTTTTGATTGAATAATTATTTCGAGCATGTTTCACCCACTCTTCAATCATCATGTCTAGAAAGAGAGCCTGGGACATGTATAAATCACGTTTGAGTACTTAAAATGTGATTTTAAGGTTAAATCTCAAAACTAAAATGTCACGTGCTAAGATTTCTTCAAAGTTGCTCATAATCGTAACGTTCCTTCTTAGAAACGAAAAAGATTGTGTTTATGGGGGGCTACATTTCCTCCTTTTTGTTGTAACGAAAAACATTGTGTTTATGGGGGGCTACATTTCATCCACTCCAACAGTAGGCAGTGAGTTCCTTCCATTTACATTAAAATGTTGTATGCAGCTACTGCTAATCAAGCTTTTCGTGCCAGCTCTTTCAAATGTATCCTGCCAAATAAGTCTAAATTGTTGCTCACGCTCCTGTTGAATTGAGTAGAAAGACAAATACACATCAGGGAGTGAATTTGGAAGTCACAGAGCTTTTGGGATATCTAATAAATATCAAGTTCAAAAAATCCACCAAGTCATGTATGCTTTAATCCACAAAAAGAAGTTGGTTTAACAAAATGGGTGTTAAGGAGATGCCAGGAACTTGAATCCATTTAATTTATCAAATAGAGATTTTCAAAATGATGTTAATTTCTTGTTCTTTTGCAGTAGCTAACTATAAACTCATTCAAATGGGCTGGAGGGAGTAAAACGGAACCGTGTTGTAGCCTACTATGCTTAACTCAGCATATGAAAATGTGAGATAACTGCTAAGGGGCCCTTAAGTTATGATACAACTCATGTAAAGTGATGCATGTACACTGGACGAAACATCTGTTCACCCTAAGGTGGAGTCTATGTAGAGAGGATCAGACATACAAGTACAGACATAGAAAAGGACTGTGCGGGTCATGAGAGCAAGGGAAAAAAGAAGAAGAGAATGCACGTGTTTATACCTTGTAAACATAACTGGTCATCGGTTTGTTTAGATCGCAGTTATGCAAGTCTGGTTCTCTTTTTGTTTTCCCGAGCCTTCTAAAATGAGTATTTTCCTTAATCATGATGAATAAACAAAATTCTATGCAAAAACTATGAAAGCTGTGCATATAGAATACTAAATAGTTTTGCTAATTAGGGCATAAACTTACCAATCATATCTTTGCTAAGTATCTTCAACTCCAAGTTGTTGAAGAGAATCAGGGGCAATAAGGAACACACGTCTAGATGTTTGAAACCGGAAAACTACTATTCCTTTATATGCTGCCCGTGGTACACCATCCTGATGAAATGAACAGTTAATGCAAGTTTTACAGAAAGCAGAAGAACCATGAGCCCATGACAGAGGAAAAATCCAGTCACAGGCTCACAGCTACTGTGAGTAGAACTGTCCATGGTCCGGGGTAAGAACCAACATGGGGCCGGTCAATAATCCATATTAAACAAAGATTACCCTAACCCGTGTTTCACTTACATGTTGCATCACATCATGGCCTAATTTCAATTCCATGAATACCTTCCCCTAGAGTAGGACTGACCACCACCAACACCAACATACCAATGAAATCCCACAAAATGGAATCTGGGGAGGGTAGAGTATACACAAACCTTAACACTACCACTCGGATGTAGAGAGTTTCCTTCAAAAGACCCTTGGCTCAAGCAAATCAAAGTAGCAATTAAACGGGAAAAATGGTAGTGGAGAGAAACATGACAACTAATAGCAGAGGAGGACGATCATGAGCAACAAATGGGCCTTATAAGAATTTTATCTTCAAAATATGAAAACATAACATTAAATATAATCTAACTTTATAGCAACTTAGTTTGCATTTTTTTAAGAATATAGTAAACAAATTGACCAAGTAACCAAAGCCACAAATAAAACAAGTAAATGGCTAAAAATTAATCTAATTTTTTGAAAATCACCTCTTATTTCCTTTATGCTAATTCTATACATGTAGGTATATATTCCAGAACAAATATTTATTATAATATAATTTCAATATCAAAACATATGAATTATAATAATAAATATGTGAGGTCAGAACAGCCAGCCCACAGGCAATTAATACTATTCAAGTCCTGCCCATTGGCAAAGCTCAGTTTTTGGTCAAGCCCAGAAGCACAAAGTTGACTGGGCCCCAAGCCCATAGATCCCTACAAGTGAAAGGGGAAAGGGAAAGCATGCATTTCAATTTCACTCCTCTTCGCATCTCAGACCTAGAAGGGGATGAGTTGTGGAATTGGATTCTGATTACTCACTCTAACCCAAAGAGACCACCTGCCTTTTTCTTTTGTGCTGCAAAACTAAACCAGCAAACAGCAACTGTTCAAATCCATGCTATATCCAAATAATTTTTTTTAAAAAAAAACATACTACAGTGAAACAGTAAATCTCCAAGAGCTAAAAGTATAAAATCACGCATGAATATTGAACTCCTCAGCAGTCTATTTCAAAGTTAAGTATAATAGATGCCCAATATGCAATGCACAGTCATACCCAACATATGCAATAACTGCATCAAAGAACCCACTCAAGCAAATATGATCAAATCTAAGGTCATAATCAATTTTATATGAAATAGAAGGGGTCACATATGCATTACCTTCCATTCTTCAAAAATTCCAAACTGTCGTGCGATGTCTTCAAAGTCTAGTTGGTCTCTGTACTGAATACGCACATCACCATCTATGTTAAATGCTTTCAAAACAGCATCAGCTCCATGGATGGGCTTAGCCTTTTTAACCAAGTCTCCAAAGTGTTTTACATAGTTGTCCTGAGAACATGAAAGTTCAAGTTACATGCTTTCCTAAGTTCTTTAATCTTCCGCACATAATAATCCTCAAGTCATTACCTCCAAAAGGTAACTTAGGTCCATTGACTTCCAATCAACCTTCACACAAAATTCCAGGTAGAGTACATATTGTACAAACGAAAAAAATTGAGTAGACAAGAAAAAAGGGGTGATGGCAACAAATACACAAGGGAGATAGTAACATGCCTGGACATCATTTAGCTTAATTGGCTCAAGATACTGCTTAAAAAACTGCCCCAAACTAGAACCCTGTAAATAATAAAAGATTGTTGACAAAGTTCAAGGAGAAGTTTATTTGATAAAGAAAAAAAATTAAAAGCATCAAAAAGATGCACAAAAGCACTGTACAGGTGCAGTTAGAAGAGTAGATTACTAGAAGTCCTATGCTAGAGATAGGGAGAGAACAAAATCCAACAAAGACTGGGGAGAGCTTATAGGGGGAGAAAATGCTCCAACGACTTAAAAGATATTAAATATGTAGCTTTCAGGGAGTGGTGTATAGTTGCTAAACCATCAAAACACCTTCTGTTTTTCTGTCCTAAAGGTCCAAAAAAATGCATCCAGTAATCATTCTCCAGATCTTCCTGATCGATTTACCAATTTTCCATTAACTCCAGCTTCTGCAGGCATCTTTGACGCTTTCTGGTAACACCCAGCTGTCAAAAAATAGAAAGAAAGAAAAACATGCTCCAGATGTCTGAAATAACTGCAAAATGGAGGAATTTGTGTTTATTTGTTTCAATATTATGATGGCACATATAGCATTTGTAAACTATGTGAAAGGAATTTCTGTTCAAGTTATCTTGAGTGAGGCAGGCTTCATTTAGAGCAGTCCAACTGTAGCAGATGAATTTAGGGGACAGTTCTGACTGATGATATCTCAAGTCCTGACAGTATAAACTCCCAATGGACTTGTTCCCCAGATGAACTGTCTGAAAGTTGCTCACTGACATACAGTATCCCAATCTGCCTAGGAAGCCACGCAATTCACCAATTTCCCAGTCATTCACATTCCCCCTGAAGATTGGATTTCAAGAATTGGCTTCTATATTCTGAGAGACGGTAGCGCCAGAACTTCTAACAATTTGATAAATGTTAGGGAAGTCAGATAGCAAGGTTGAAGAGTCCTAACCATCTATCTTTCCAAAAATTAACTTTTGCCCCATTCCCAACTTGAAATCTGTTGTTCTGGCTGAACTTGCCCCAAAGGTTGATAATGTTCTTCAAAAGGCCTACCTTATGACGAGCCTGGAGACCTTTGTGCACCAGTTACTGTGTATCCCATGTTTGGCATTCACCACTCTTTTCCAGGTTAGCTGATCCTCCTCTTCATTCCTCCATAGCCATTTCATGAGTAAACACCTGTTCTGAAGAATACGGTTCCTGATGTCCAAGCCTCCCAGTGATTAACGCAGAGTTACTTTCTCCCGTTTTACCAGATGAAACTTATGGGCAGTGCTGTTATCTTCCCACAGGAAGTTCCTTCTAATTCTGTCAGCTTCTTCTGAATCCTTGAGGGGATAGGGGATAGTGACATTTATGTATGTAGGAATCAATCAAGGGTGTTGTTGATAAGAGTGAGCCTGCCACCCATTGATAAATACTGCATTTGCCATGTGGCTAACTTTGTTTCAAATTTCTCTGTTCCATTCCAAATTTTGTCAGATCTGTGTTTTTAGTAACCAAGGGTAATACCAGACGGGGGGTTTTTTTTTTTGAGAAGGTAACATTGTGAATATTCATTGAAACCAGTGCTTGGGTTGCACTAAACCATTGTCAAAAAGTAAGAAAACTGAATCTAAATCCTATCAGGAACCTAGGATATCTATAATGGATTCAGTGTCCTCTAAATACATTTGCTTATACCAGAAAAAAAAAAGCCTGATACAATTTAGTTTGATCTTTTGGAGACCACAATTCTTGCTCTCAAAACATCTAGCATTTCTTTCTTTCCAAACAGTCCACCAAATACAGGCTAGGACAATCCTCCATTTATCTCTATCTGCAGCTCCCACCCCTACTTCTCCCCAACTGTATAAAAGATGCGTGATTCTGTTAGGCATAGCCCAAGCAAAACCCCTGAGCCTAATGAAAATCCTCCATAGATGGGATGTTATTCTGCACTAGAGAAACAAATGATTGACTGTCTCAACCTGTTCCCCACATAAATAGCATGTAGAACACATGGAGAACTTCCTTTTCTTGAGATTTTCATGTGTTAAAATTGCTTCTCTTGCCGGAAGCCAAGTGAAACATGACACCTTGAAAGGGATTTTAGGTTTCCAAATCTGCTTCCAAGGCCATCTTGATTTAGCAACTTATATGCAGAGTTTACCTTGAAAGTGCCTTTGTTATTTCTGCTCCACCATAATCTATCATGTTCATCCCTTGTTCCTATAAAAGCTTCCCACCTTCCAAAAAAATCAGTCACGGTCTCGATTTTCCAATCATTGAAATTCCTTCTAAACTGGAAATTCCATCCATGTTATGTCCAAACCTCAGCTACACTCACTTGTTTATTCACTGCCAAGTCATGCATCTCTGCAAATATGCTTTTCAAGCTAAAGTTGCCCAACCATTTATCCTCCCAAAATGAAGTCTTGATACCATTTCCTACCCTGATGGTCATATTAATCTCCAAGAGAGGCCACAAGATTCTGATGGATTTCCATTGGCTTACCCCATATGGTGTAAGGACCTCCTTTGTCATCCACACGTTCTTCTCTCCATATTTTACTTGAGTTACTTTTCCCCAGTGTGGTTGAGGCTCTTGAGAATACCTCCATAACCACTTTAGTCTAAGGGCTTTGCTCTGCTTTTTCAAATTCCTTACTCCAAGACCCCCATGTTTCTTCCCCCAGAGAACCTTGTTCCACTTGACTAAATGTTTGACAGTGGAATCATTTTCCTCTGTCCCTTTCCATAAGGGAATCCCTCCTAATTTTATCAAGTCTTTGTATCACCCCATTAGGAATAGGGAACATGGACATCATGTAAGTAGGTAAGGCATCCACAACTGAATTAATGAGAGTGACTCTGCCTCCTAAGGAGATATATTAAGATTTCCATCTGGTAAGCTTTTTCTCTCACTTTTCAATCACTGGGTTCCAGATGTTCAAAGCCTTTGATTTGGCACCTAAGGGTATGCCCAGGTAAATGGTAGGCAAAGAACCTACTTCCCCTCCCAAAATCCAAGACAGTTCCTCCATATTAGAGACATTATTAATAGGATAAACTGACTCTTTCTCCAGTTGATATGCAAACATGAGACTCCTTCAAACAACACCAAGATTGACCTTAAAACCAATAGTTGGGAAGGAACCTATCTCACAGTAATGTATTTCAGCCAACAAATCCAGATTTTGCATTTCAGTGACAAGGTAGATAATGCTCTTTAACATGTTGATGTGGAGTTCAGAAGGAGTTTCAAAAATCTGAAGTGCCAAATTCATCTGTAACACTTTTGCTCCACAGAAGATCAAAGTGCCAAATTCAAGTATCTTGGTTTAATTCCTAAGGCAACTGAATAGGATTTTAGCTACAAGAGAAGTGATTTTGACAGTGGAGAATCTTAGGAGATGAAAGGCTGTCTGCTTGAGCTGGTATTTCCATTGTAAGGAGGTGAGTGAGGAGGACTTGGACCATACTTAAATACACTGCAAATTAGCTACGAAGTTATGGGAGGATATCTTAGATGGTTTGGAGTTTCTTGGGTAATGCCAAGATCTGTAAAGGAGTTGATGTTCAACTGGAAGAGTGGAGCTAGAAGTAGAATGCACAAGGCTTGGAATGTTACCCTCTTGCTTAAATGTGGGTCATTTGGGAAGAGAGAAATAGAAGAGCCTTTGAAGGGGTGGAGATGAGCTTTGGTCAACTGGGTAGTAGTCTCCGCCTCTTCATTTTCTTTTGATGCACCCATGTAGTTCCTGTTTGTATAGAAGATTGGGAGTCCTTTGGAGACGACCAGAGTTTGTATGTTTCTCCTCCTTTTGGTATCGCACTTGTATATGGCCAAGTTGGCCTTGTTATTATTAATGAAAACTTTTACTTGATCAAAAAAGATACAAGTGTCATCTACATATCACAGGTGAGACTCGAGAGATAGTCAATGTATTGCCTATAGTGGTGCCAATTTCAAAACCTTGAATCCATTGCAATCCCTGACTTTATCAAAATATTGCTCAAGCCTTTCAAACAAGTTGGGGCTTGCTATAGGAATACCCAACTTCTTTGTTGAGATAGTGGAAATTGATAAATTTTCCATAGTTATCACCTATCAGTATCTGTTTCACAAGGTAAAACAGCGGTAGAAGGAATGACAAACATTTTTTCTCTTGAGAAGTATCTAAATGAATGAAATCAGCAATATCAATCACACTATTGAAGACAGATTCAAGTTCAACTACATTTAATGAGCCAAAGCCATCTAGCTCATCTTTTATACACATACATGCTCACCAAAATTGTACGTTCTGCAAACTTCTGGGCGAATAAATTGTCGACCTCTGTGATTTTCTTTGAGCCTCAGCCAGTCATCCCAGTAAGTAAAAGTAAGGTCAAAGAAAATTTTTTAAGGTTCCAAAGGCAGTTAATTTATGCAAGAAATAAGCACATCAGTTGGAAAGGATATGCCTTCGGCCACTTTGGAGATAGTTCGGACCAAGTTGATTTTGAAAGCATCCATCCAAGACCAGGAAAAAAGTCTGAGCGGTAAAGAGCATCTGCAGTGTAAAATGCAAAGCATTTCAGTGAGATTAGAAAAGTGAACCCTGTTTACTTTGCTAAAAGAACACCTACATAGTATCAATATATTCCACAACATCGAGCAGTACAATGGGATTAATCTCCATGGACTATACAGTTTCGAACAGCTCAACAATGACATGAATGGGTCAAAAAATTGTTTTTTTATTTCATCTTTCACAGTCCAAAATATCCATTGAAGCTCGCACTCATAGAAAGGACTATGGAGTCCCGAAAAGAGAAATATAGATTTCTCTTTTGACAATCTTAGACATAATCATTTGGGGTACATGTAAAGAGGGGGAATACACAGTCAAGGAAAGGCATGATCTAATGTGTTGACAGGGGAATTCTGGAGGATTGGCCTTGGAAGCATGATTTGAGGACCAGGCTACCACTCAAAGTTACATGTCTAGTCTGAACAACTCTTAAATAATGCTTGCTTGACACTAGATAATCTTAGCAGAAAGAAAATTACTCAAGTAAATAGATGTTATTTATGCAAATAGAATCTTGAGAGTGTTAGCATCTGTTTTTGCACTGCCTCATCACCACTGATATTTGGAACTTTTTCTTCTCTCTGTATGGCCTTTCTAGGAGTATACCCAGGTTGATCAAGGAGTCAGTTGGATCTCTTTCAGAGTCGACAAAGTCATCAAGAAAAACTGGAGGATGATCCCAGCAGTCATTTTGGTTATCTGGAATGGAAGGAACCGCAGATGCTTTGATGGAATATCACCTCCTACCCACTCTCTGAAGACTATATCATTAGTTAATTTGTCCAGTTGGATTCGCTACCACCTGTTAATACTGTCGACATGTTTTTGGATTTCATTAGCTCCTTAGCTTTAGCTTTAAGCTACTTGTACTAGTGCTGAAATGTTTTTTGCCCTACTGTACTGGAGCTAACTGGTCACACCTTTTTTTTTAAAAAAAAAAAGGTAACGATTTGTATTATAAACTAGTACTTATGTAGTACTGAAAGCCCCTTCACAGAAAAGTATGAAGATCTAGGAACAAAAACAGCAAGCCTAGCATGATTCTAATACTTCTAGGATTGCTTCTGCATCTACAGGGGAACTCTTTGTACACCAAAAACATAATAACAGAATACAATCTGTTTTGATCATTTGTATGGATCTACTTCTATCCTCAAAGCTTCTAGCATTCCTTTCTTTCCAAATGGTCCACCAGATGCATGCTGGAATTGTCCTCCAAAAACTTCTGTTCTTTGCCTCAATTCCTGCTTCCTCCCATCTTGAGAGTGTCAACAATCGTGCTAGGCATTGTCCATTGAATGCCTCTGAGATTGATGAAAATCTTCCACAATCGTTCAGTGATTTTGCAATGTAAGAACAAATGCCTAACTGTCTCAGCTGCCTCCCCACATAAACAACAATGTGTCACCGGAATGTTGTTTCGTTTCCTCAAATTCTCATGTGTTAGTACTGCCTCCTTTGCTAACAACCAAGTGAAGCATGCCACCTTGAGTGGAATTTTGGTTTTCCAGATTTGTCTCCAAGGCCAATTGAGGGTTAGAGGAACCCTATTCATGACCTTGTAACCTGAACTCACTTTGTATCTTCCTTTGTTGTGCTCTGTCCACCGTAGGCAGTCCTCCCCTTCCATCAAACCTTGAAATGATTCCAACCTCTTAAAGAATTCAACTAATCTACAAACTTCCCAGTCATTTAAATTCCTTCTGAGAGATAGATCCCAACCTTGGAGAGACCACATTTCAGCCACTGTTCTGTCTTTATGTAGTGCTAAGTCAAAGATGACAGGGAAGATCTCTGACAAATTTTGATTACCAAGCCATCTATCTTTCCAGAATTGTGTCCTGACACCATTTGTGTACTGTTATAGTAGTATGATTCCTTAGGGAAGGCCACCAGTTCCTAATTGATCTCAAATCAGTAACACCATAGGGATTGGTTGCTTCCTTGGTGACCCATGAATCCATCTCGCCGTACTTCAGTTTAATCACCTTGCTCCACATTGAGTGTGGTTCATAAGCATATCTCCACAACCATTTCAGCTTTAGAGCCTTGCTTTGGTTTTTCAAATTTTTGATGCCTAAACCTCGTTTTTTCTCTTGATCATAACTTCTCATTTTACCAGATGGTATCCCTTTATTTTCTTGTTTCCTTGACAGAAAAAATCCCTTCTTAGTTTATCCAATCTTTGTACTATTCCTGCAGGTATTGGAAACAAAGTTAGCATGTACATAGGAAGGGCATCCAAGACTGCATTTATTAAAGTGAGCCTGCCCCCCTTTGATAAATATTGTGCTTTCCATTTGACCAGCTTCTTCTCACATTTCTCCAAGAAACATTTCTCCAAGACGTAATTCCAAATTTCTTTGGATTGTGATTTTGCTCCCAGTGACATCCCTAGGTAGATAGCAGGTAGTGCTCCCACCTCGCCTCCTAGAACTGAGGCCAAGAGCTCCATATTAGAGACCATTTTTATGGGATATAAATGGCTCTTTCCCTGGTTGATGTTAAGACCTGACATACCTTCAAAAAGCACCAAAATGACCCTAAGGTATCTTAGTTGTTCCTCATCTGCATCACGAAAAATTAAAGTGTCATCTGCATACTGGAGATGTGTTACCTCCAAAGTCCTCTCATTATAGACACCTCAAATCCCGTGATCCACCTATTTGATTTAGCTATCTTGATCATGTTGTTAAGTCCCTCCATGGCAAGAATAAAGAGGAATGGAGATAAAGGATCCCCTTGTCTGATTCCTCTTTGGGCTTAAAAAAAACTTCGGGAGCACCATTAATGAGGACAAAAAGCTTTAATGTTGAGATGAAAAATGTATCCATCTAAACAACTTTTCTCCAAATCCCAATTTCCGGAGTATATTGAGAAGAAACCCCAGTTAACATGATCATAAGCTTTCTCAATGTCCAGTTTGCATAGGATGCCTGGTTTTCTTTTGACCCACTCAGAGTCTATTGCTTCATTTGCTATTAACACCGCATCCATGATTTGCCTTCCTTCGATAAAAGCCATCTGTTGGGAGTCTACCAGCTTGTACATCACCCTTTTGATTCTTTCTGTTAAAACTTTAGACTAAAATTTATAGAAACTGCGTATCAAGCTTATTAGTTTGAACTCTTCAAGTTCCTTTGCTCCTTTCTTCTTTGGGATTAAGGCAATATAGGTAGCATTGACACTCTTCTCAAACATTTCCTGCTCATAGAAATTATGGAATGCTGCCATGATGTCATGCTAAAGAGTTTCCCAACATTTGATGAAAAAACCCATTGTGTAACCATCAGGTCCTGGGGCTTTGTCAATGGCACATAACTTCAAGCATTTAATAACTTCCTGCTCCTCAAACTTTGCCTGTAGTTGTGATCTTTCTTCCTCTTATATTGAAGGACAATTCACTAAATTTCCATCAGGTCTCCATTTTTCTGTTTCAAAATACAGTTTCTCATAAAACTTAATGATTTCCTCCCTTACTCTGTCTCGTTCTGTGATGATCTTTCCCTCTACTTCCAACTGGTCAATATGGTTGCTTCTTTTGTGGGCATTTGCATTGTGGAAGAATTTTATATTGTTGTCTCCTTCCTTCAACCACTAAATTCTAGCCTTTGTCTCCAAACACATTCCTCATTTTTTATCAGTTCTTCGTACTCCATAAAGATCTCTACCTTCAAAGTAGCCTCTTCCTCTGCCAATGCTCTTTGGTCACACCTTTTGTAATTTGGCATCTTCCTGATGCAGATTCAATGATAATCTCTATTAACTTTGTCAAACACTCTGATGAACCAATTTTTCAACTTTTCCCTTTTTCATTAGTACCCAGAGTTTGAAACAAAAAGAGAAGTTAAAACTCATTCTATTCTCACACTATCACTCTGTTAGTACCCTTTTAGTCTACCAACAGTTTTATGCATGGAATTTAAATCAGTAGCTATTAATTATGTTTTTCTGTATTCTCTGTAATAGTCCTCTATAGCAGTGTTTTCCCTGTAGCAGTTGTTTGTTGTGTATTATGTGTCGTAGTTATTAGCAGTAAGGAGGTTATTCCTCCACTTTCTCATTTCAGTAGTAGGAAGTTACTTCCTTGTTATTAGGTGGGTGGTTAATCACCAACGTTGTCTTTAAGTTATTTGAATTCAATGGAAAGAGAAGCAAGAAAATTTGTACTTCAAACTCAAGAGATTGCAGGTTCTCTCTCAACAAACCAGCACCATAGGTAGAAAAAAGAAAAATTTAGATTTTATCTTGCAGTGTCACGTAACTAGATCCATAACAGGGGATCATAACAACTTGGTATCAGAAAAGGGAGTTACGGGAGACCAAATTCAACATCAACACAAGCACAATTAGTGAATTTGTTCCAAGAAGAACGTGCAGCCAATTTAGCCAGACATGAAGCAACAAATGCTCGCTTGGATGCACTCACACGGGATTTAGTAAATCCCAAGGTCGATTCTGATTCAACTGAACATATCAGTCACAATCGGGGTTGGAAAGGTAAAAAAAAGAGTGTCAGGAGGGGAGGGTCAGGATCAGAAACATGTGGAAGTTTCATCATTTCTCGACATATAAAACTGGATTTCCCACGATTTAATGGCCAAGAGGACCTTTTGGGATGGTTGAACAGGTGTGAACACTTCTTTCAACACCAACGAACTCTGGAAGAAGAAAAGGTTGGACTTGCTTCTTTTCATTTGGAGGGCAGTGCACAACTTTGGTTTCTTCAATTAGAGACAGATCTGCCTCAATTGACTTGGGATGACTTCAAACATCATTGTAACCTTCGTTTTGGGCCACCAATCAGTAGTCAGAAAGTGAGAGAATCGGCTCAGCTACGCCAAATCGGGTCTTTGGCAGATTTCCAAGAAACATTTGAGCAGTTAATTTCGCGGGCTGGTACACTTACACAATCACAAAAAAACTGAACTTTATATCGGCAGTCTTACTGATTATATAGGAATTGAGGTCGAGTTACATATTTTTCTAGATTTGGCTACGGCGATGAATTTATACCGACTTTAGGAACGCAAGGAACAACCTACTTGTTCGCAATTGTTAGATGCTTTTAAATCAAAGACAACAGATTTCTCACCTCAACAACATGTCAGATTCGTGAAGAAACTGACCAATTCTGAAATGATGAAGAAGTTATTCTGGATTGATTTGATTAACGATGAAGAAGAATTACTTGACAAACTTTGTGCTTTAGGACAAGCGTGATTTGAAGGATTAGAGTACTGTTAGTACCTTTTAATCTACCAGTACTTTTATGCACGGTAATTAAATCAGTAGCTATTAATTATGCTTTTCTGTTTTCACTGTAATAGGTCTTCTGTAACAGTGTTTTCCCTGAGTTGTTTTCTGTGTATTCTGTGTAGTAGTTATTAGCAGTAAGGAGGTTATTCCTCCGCTTTCTCATTTTAGTAGCAGCAGGAAGTTATTTCCTTGTTATTAGGTGGGTGGTTAATCACCAATGTTGTATTTTGGTCAAGTTTTTGAGTATTTCAAACTCAAGAGATCGCAAGTTCTCTCTTAACGAACCAGCAGCACCATAGGTAGAAAAAATAACTTCAGATTTATCTTGCAGCGTCCCGTAACTAGATCCATAACAGGGGACCAGAACACAATCTTATCCAATATCCTTGAGTGAGCGGAGAATCTTTAGACAACCACAATAAATAGGTGACAACTTTGTAGAAAAAGAAAGAGTCACAGCCCGGTGCTTCATCCTGACACTTATATTAGCATGAGTAAAATGATTCAAGCTCAAGTTGATTAAAAGAATATTGGTTGATCTAGGAGAAAGACGATGCCAAAGAAATTCAGGAACCAGTAACAGAAAGAGAGGCATGTGGTAGACAAATACAGGAATCAGTCATGGAAAAGGAATAAAGAAAAAACTGCAGAAATACACCAAAAATAAAAGTACGCAACATCAAATCCCTGCTGCTGTTTTAGGTTTTTCCAAGGAACCAGAAACAAAATGGAAGTAGAACCATTCAACATAACAGAAACAAGAAACAATCTGCTCTAAGCAGTGTGTTTAAGTTTCTTTATTGAATTAACCAATAAACATTTCAAGTGAGACAGGAAATAGTTCAAAAGAAAACTCATAACCACCATTCCCAAAAGAGGAAGAAAGATATAACTTACAAGGATCTTGGACGAACTGCCTTTGTCCATTGTCATTCCAAGATGAAATAGCCATAATCGACCTGGGATGTTCACCACAAGGATGTAAAAAATGTTATACTTGGAATATTGAGAATAGGCATTTTGCAATCTGTCATCATGTTTTAGGCCAGGTCCCATTTTTTTAGGTTCACTATCCCACTTAGCATATTTGGCCACAAGTTTATGTAAGCAGAAGTTTTTAGTCCTTTTGCTAAAAATGTTATATAATCAAAAATGGAAATTTATCCCCAGCGCTTCCATCGATTTTCTCCTACCACGTGCCTGGGAGAGAAAGAGATCTTGGATGGCTGTAGAATATGATCCAATTATGTTGGTTCTTTAAAAAAATGATCCAAAAGGTTGAATGGGGGGGAGTTGGCCAACAAGAGGAAAAAAATAGATTTTCCTGATACAAGGATGAAGTGAACAATCCTTTGAATGTAAGCATGGAAAATCTGGGTCCTTGAGAATGCCTTACTTGTCTCTGTCAAGAAGAGTAGCTCCAGCCTCAAAGTAGTCAAAAAAATCAGCCGCAATTTCCATATCATCTGCATGTCAGAAGCAAAAATATTGTGAGAAGAAAAAGTGCAGAGAATATGCAACATAGTGATTAAGATAGATCAGCGGTACCTTCTAGTATGATAACACGGCTAAAATTATGCTTGTGAAACAGCTGATCCAATGCCCACTTGTAATGACCTAAGGAAAGAGTGGTCCAGTGGTTAATGCAAAACTAACACTAGTTGAAATAAAAATGAGCAAAGGAAAAAGTTGAAGGAGAAAAAGCAAAAAAAATCCTTACGTGCAATCTTGTAGTATGCAACCAGTTCCCCTGGTCTTTCAGTATGCACAGGTTCAAAATCCAAGTGCTGTCGATTAAAAATCAAAAAAGGTCTTTTATTAAGAAAGTCAATAAAAACTGCCAAGAAGAGTTTGATACAAAGATCAAACAGAAGCAATGCTTGTAACTACACTTTATAATGTAAGGCCAGAACTGTTATCACTAATCACCAAAAGATTAGATAAAGACTAAAGTAACTACAGCTACCTTAAGCTAAACGAAAAGAAGCTAGCTTCATTCCCATGCAAGTAAAGCATTTATCAGAACAAAATTTAGCCAATTGATATGTTATAAAACTATGAACCTTGTAGATCAGTAGATGAGTATTTATACAAAACAGAAGTATGGCTAATCAAACAAAGAGAGAGAAGGAAATCATATATATGTATATATATACATATATATCTTAAAAGAATAAATCAAACTACACATGCCTCTTCCACTTGTATAGCTAACGGGGGGGAGGGCAAATTGTCACACAATGAATGAATGAAGTATTAAAAGAGTTAAAATGATTAGGATAACATTTAGATGTCAAATATTGATTATGTATTTTTTCCCTTTCCATTTTTACTAGATAAAAACTCCTTATGGGTAATTTTTCTACTAACTTGTTTCACCAGTACACGATCTTGTTACTGGAATGACGATGATTGAGCATTGGAACAATGAATTCATATTCTTAAGTCTATACTTTTTCTCCAAGTAAGGATCAGCCTGATTTAAATTTGACAGATAGATATACCCCAAATAAATTTCATTTTCCCTTTCTCAAGCGATAGGAAAAGTACCTGCATATACGTCAGTTGATCATAGCTCAAAGCAAGCTTTCTAACATCAGGATTCGATCCATCCTGCCAAAGGGAAGTAGAACGAGAAGTAGGCTCAGCAAGACAAAGAAGACAAGCATGCAATAGAAGGCTATGAGGGAAAATAAATGGGTACCTGGGATATGAAAAGAGGATATTTTGATGCAACAGATGTTTGGTATCTGATGACAACAATGGAAATACCGGGCTTATCAGCTGAGGCATCTAGTATGTCATGAGAAGCAGATAAAATTGTTTTGATAGAAAGCATACTTTAAGATGGATTTTATAGTCTTCTCCAGGTAGTCAGAACGACTGCAAGCCATAACAACTACAGCTGCCACTGGCATCTAGTAAATATAGTAATTAGTTGATGAACAAAGATTTGACAGAATTGAGGTCACCAGATGGTGGTAGCAAATGTATGACTGAAGATGTGGGAATGTATATAAACCTGCACATTTCCGATTAACTTTTTTATGCCCTTACCTGTAACAGATAAATTAACAACATCAAATATATAAATAAGTTCAAATACTTGTAGGCATGAGTATATATTTATGTATTTAATGATAAGATAAGATTCCTTGTAGGCATGACTTAACTAGAATAGAATTTAGAGCTCACAACATTAATAAACTCAATGTATGAACTGACAAATTGACATTAACAGGTCTTTATTTATCACATACAATGGGTATATATTTTGCAGGTGTACATTTCATACTACTGCGACTAAAAGCAGCGGCTTTTGACAAAAAGCTGAAAGAAGAAAGAGGAGTTTATCGACTTACTTTCAAGATCCTGAACAAGAGCCCTTAATTGTCGGCACTCCTGGTCCTGGCGCTTCATTTGTTCTGAAATGTAGCAAGATAAAGATAAGGGAAGTACAACTACCCATAACCCTTCATATAAAAAGTTAAAAAGCATTGTTTTTTTTCGATTGGTACAGAAATTATTTGAGATCTACATTATCACAGAAAGAACAAGGAAAAATGCATTGAAAGAGAAACATGAAGAAACTGAACAGGTCTAATGCGCCAAGTTGCATCAAGGCCATTTACAAGGAGTCGAGCACGAGATCTCCAAGCATTACAAGGACAATTTATGAAGATGGAAGTGCTTGAGCATATTTTGATGTCATCCCAGGGATCTCATGTCATGAAGATAGCCTTAGAGGACAAAATAGGAGGGATCTATGACTAAACATATGGACTTTATCTCAACCATAAGTCAAGAACAGCCAGATGCGGCAGGTACAGAAGCGACATATGGCCCGCAGAATTACTTATGCCCTGTACCTTGGACTGTATCTCAGAACTGGACACTGCCCAGATTCAGGCCTGAACCGCATGTCACGATTAGCAGAGCAATTTGGCTAATTTTACAATTTTCAAGGGATGTCACTTAAGGCGTTTTTTGTAATAATTAGCCTAAACTATAGATAGTTGAAACTATCTTGATAGACTTAGTCTTAATGAATATTGGTTTTCTTCTCTTTGAGAGATTTGAGAGCTTGGTTTTGTTGAACCTTTGTTTGAGAGGTGAGTTTCAAGGTGAATTCAACTCCCTTGAGGTTCATCTTAAAGCTTAGGTGTTTTTTTCGGATTCAACAATTGAAGGTTTTGGTTATCTTAGAACCATAATTGTCAATTAATTCCATACTTGTGTTCTATCTATTTATCTTTTACTTTCTTGTTCTTAGATTAGGGTTTCTTTTGGTTTCCGCATTGCATCAAGGTCCCATCCTCACTGCTCATCCATGAAGATATCTCGCAATATACAACACAAAAACAATAATTGTTTAAAAAGAGAACAGATCTATACCATTTTTTCCACCACACTCGTATACAATAGGACGGAACTTACGTAAGATTTTCAAGATATACGATTTCCAATAGATCCATTGTCGAATGGAGGATTACGAATGAAGGAAATAAATCCATTTCTAACATAGTTAGAAAGAGGACAAAAAAGAAAGAAAAGATTACACCGGAGAACACAGTGCACCTTCAAGAGCCACTACTCTTCCTTGCTGCTGGCTAATCTTGTCAATAAGCAACCTAGTCTGACTTGTACAATGATTTTCTGCTTCAATCTGTGTCATTCACATGATTTGTACACATTATTAGCAATTAAAAGCTATTTTCTTCTTTCTTTAGCTACATCATTGACGTAGGATGCAGTTGTGTGTTGCTAAGAAAATGCAAAAGAAGATTAAGCAATCTCCTGTTGAGAAGAAAAGAGAGGATTTTCGGAATGAATATTTGAACTGTTGAAGGATACCTTCAAGTAGAGCATATGAAGCTTTTCGAAACGCTTGTTAAAAAAAAAGCTTTTAGAAACATTATGTTCATAATACATGACAAGAATTATAAATACATAAACGATAGAACACAGGAAATATGTCTATGGTATTTAGATTCCATTCGGAAGGATGACTAGATGAGCCTAGATACTTACCGCAGCAGCAAGGCGGTCTGCATATTCTGACTGTGTCACGAAAAGCCGCATCTGAGAAATGTAGCAAAAACAACCACTTAAAATATACCTACTTCGCCATTAAGCAAACAGTAATCCAGTTAGGTAATTTCTTCTCATAACACCAATGTCAACAGAACCAAGTAACCTCATATGTAAAAATAAAGATAAAACAAGCTAATCATGCAAAGAAAGGATTGCTTGGGGTAGTGGACAAGTTATGGCTTTACCTAAGCAATATAAACTTTTCTCTTTATAATAGTGATATCAAGGCTACCTTTTGTGAACCTCGACCAATCCACCAGGTACTTACTATCTTCTAGCAACACAAGTATTGAGTAACTACATCCACTAAGCTTAGGCAGATGCAAGGAATTTCTGTACTTTTTCCTCTGTTCGAATTCCAATCTTGGTTCCCAATTTCGCCACAGCAATTTCTCGGTCGCTAGGCCAGCCCCTTGTGACTTAAAATTCATATGTTGCTATTTTCTTTTGTTGGAAACATCATAAAGAGATAAAAGAGATACTAAAACCGAACCAATACAGTATGGTAACGTAAGTTATACGCATAAGTTGGCGCAGTATCGTCAGAATATATTTGGGGAAACTTTCAATTTCATTACCTACAAGCTATAAGAATTTTCAATTGCATGGCTTCCGATAATTTTTGGACATTTGAATGTCAATTCTTTGCTAAGCACTGACTCTATCTCTGCCAAGGGGAATTGCAAGCCAAATCCTAAAAGAGAGACCAGTGGCCTAGCTAAGTTTGTTGAAGGAAGGTTCAAGTAAATCTCTTTAGCGGAAATATCACATTGTACAAATAGGGTAAAAGCAGCTAGTTTTGTACAAATAATTTTTTGCATCCCCTTGATGGTTAAGCAATTCATTGGTTGTGCAAGTTTGCATTTCTTTTTAGCCAAACCCCTCATTAGATGATTAATGTAGTTGACCCGGAGGAGCTCGGGATTTAAAGTTATAGTCGTTAGTGGAATTGTTCTATAGCTTCATAAGAGATTCTAACTCAACTGACAATTAGGTTCACTAAAGATACCAAATTGTGTTAAATTACAGAAAAAATCGCTGAGATGAAATGAATAATAGTTATATGCGTATAGATCTGAGAGGAGGCCAGAAGATAACCTGTATGTAGATGAAGGCGAGAGCAGCCACGACGAGAAGGTACCGTAAATCAAAGCAAAACTTGTTTCCTCTCATCTCTGCCAAATGCGAAATTGAATTCTAAGGGTTTCTCAGTTCCGAGTGTTGCCTCACATAGGATCAAGTCAATAACGGTCTCTTCCAATTACATCACAGACTCTAATTTGTTTATAGGCTTAAGAGGAAAGGATCAATAGTCCATTTTTCTCTGGGTTAAAAAGATTCAATTGATTCTTGAGTTTTCACGTAAAGCATTAATAGTTTTTAAAAAAAAAAATTAGTATATTTTTTTTTCCAAAATTTTATTTATTTTTAGCATTAATTTTATTCATAATCTACGTATAAAATGTTTAATCATAATTTATTTTGTTTAATAGAAATCGTAGTGCTCCATGTGAAAACTTAAAGATCACTTTTGAGTCTTAAACCAAAGGTGATGAATTATTTTGAGCCTTTCCTCGCTTAAGTAATATACAATGAGATTTGAACCTTAGTACAACAACACTAAAAGAGTCTTAAGTACTCATCCTAGAATCACTGGGCCAACTATATGATTTATTCGTTGGGTGCTCTATGTTAATTTTATACAAATACCTATCGATTTCTACATAGATATATATATTTCGTAACGAAGTTAATGGGTGCTCGAATATCCGGCGAACACCATGTGAATCCGTCCCTGTTTTAAAATATATTTTAATGATAAAAGTAAAATAAAATTTTGTATCCCGAAAAAATCCACCCACCCAAACCTTCAGGGTTGACGGTACCCATCAAATTTTAGGCCCCTCAGCGTGGTCTTTTTTACTTCTTCTTCTTCATCATAAATTAAAAATGGTAAATTATTTAGACTAATTTTTTTAAAAAAAAAAAAAAACTTTAATAGTTACATTGTTGCCAATCAACTCAAATTCTTTTCTTTCTACCCCATTAGATCAATCACTCTTTTCTCCTTTATATAATAAACGGATCAACAATGGCGAAATATCCAATATCTTTCACTTTAATAGCATCAAAATTTCTACTTGTTACCTCTGTCTTTTTTTCATTAGTAATCATTTATCACAATTATAATAGATAATAATAAACTTTTGCCTGATAAAACCAATTCATATTATTACCATCGGAATGAATCGATTTTTGCCTAAATATTGAAGATATAACATCTACAACAAAAAAATTAGAAGAAGAAGAAGAACCGGAGAGGGTGAGAGACAGAGAGTGAGCAGGAGGGTGTGGGGTGGGTTGTGCACTTGTGTACGAAAAATTATGGAGATGGTCAATATAAATAGTGCAGGGGTGCAATTTTGGGCGGGGAAAAAAAGAGTACATTTTCAAAAAAAAAGTTAAATTCTTTTTATCCCTTTTCATTAGTTTTAGTATATAAGTTAGAAAAAAAAAAGTAATAATTTCAATAGTTTTATGCCCTTTTAGAGAGTGTAGCACACGTTTTTTGACATGTCAATATTTTGTGTCTAATAAAAATAATTTTTGAACAAATATATTGTCCAATAGGCACAAACATAAGTTGAGACGTTTAAATGAAATATTCAGACAACTTAAAGGGGCTCCATATGACTTAAGTCTTGTTAATAACATACTCCGCATCGGAAAATTGTTTATTAAGCATTGTAGTAAAATGTACGAAAAAATCGGATAGACACAAAACCAACAAAACGCGTGTGCAGTAAGGTATACCCGACAATACTCCAATCCAGCTCATCAAAATTTATGTTCCTTGTGTCTCTAATCAATTAAGTTAAGAAAAAAATTATTGACGTAGTAGTTTATTATTTAATTCCTATTAATTATAAAGTAGATAAAATAAAAATTTAATATTTTAAAAAAGTTATTGAAAACTGCGAATTGAAACGAAGCCTAGTTTAAGACACCTACATTATAACATTTTGCCTTAGAACGACCTACTGACAGTCCTGCATGTCCGTAGGTTCATGGTCTGTAGCTCCTAAGTTGGCTCTTGACCCACGACCATGAGCTACGGGAAGTAATTAAGGACAACTACAAAAGGAAAAAGTGAATAAGAATTAGGAATGTATTAAAAAGAAATATTTTTCTCTTTTCTTGATTATTATATTATTATTATTATTTGATTTATATTTTCTTATTTCATAAAACAAATTCTTTCTAAAACATACACCAGATATAATTCATATTATTTTCTTTGATAGTCGTTTAATATAAAATTATTTTATCTGCATTGTTGATTTTTGTGCAAATAAAATCATAATATAAAATTATTAATTGTATCTATATTTAATGGGAAACTTTCACATATAGCTATGACTTGATAATTACAATTTGTAACTACATGTTATATGGAGAAGAGCGGCGAGCGAGACTGGGAGAGAGAGGAGAGAGGCGAGAGAGGGGGAAAGGTAAATTGTATATGTATTCTGGTTAGATAATTGTATATCATACATATGTAATTGTATATATGGCAAGAGATTGGGAGAGGGAGGAGAGAGGCAGTCGAGACTGGGAGAGAGAGGAGAGAGGCGAGCGAGATCAAGAGACGCGTGCGAGAGAGGGCAGAGAGTGGAAGAGCGGTGAATTGCATATGTATATAATTGTATATAATTGATATTATACATATACATTTTTATAAATGGCAAGCGAGATTGAGAGAGGGAACAGAGAGGCGAGCAAAGAGCGCTGAGAGTGGGAGAGAGGTGAATTGCATATGTATATAATTGTATATAACTGATATTATACATATACATTTTTGTAGTTCGTTGTCCTTTGTTTTCTTTTATTATTCTGGTAAAAATCTTCATCTCCAAATTAATTGGGACAAGAATTATTCCACTAAAATAACATATATTTCTCTAATTCCTTAGGTTATGTCTAAGCCTCAATTGAAACGGACCTACTTATATTGAACTTCTATTATGTAATATATTTGTCATATGTCATCTGTGTCAAATACAAACTTGTGCAATTGGTTGGCCTGAGGTCTACATATGCAGTAGAGTCGTTCAACAACCATCTTTCGAAATTAGCAGGTATTGTATCTATTAACTTTACTATTTACTCATTGAGATATACTTGCGTGATCATTCTCTTTTCATTGAGTCCATGACAAAATGATTGTTGGGCTGCCCAACCATCTAAGCTACTCATCAAACTGCAATTGCAGTGTTTTTTTTCTTTCTTTCTAATATTAGTAATTTTGTCTAAAAAATTAACATTGTATGATTGCCCTGCAAAGAAAGAAAGCTCTATTAGTTCTAGCAACTCAATTGCAAAGATCATGAACAACAAAAGCACATAAATTATTACTTTCATGGTTATTTGCACTTGATAGATCTACTAATGATGCAAATTAGGTAAAACCACCCAAACTTGTTATATGCATGGCATGGTATTTGACTTCTTCTCCATTCCACAATAATTTGACATAACTAACAATAAATTGTAACGACCTGTTTAGTCGTTTTGAGCAGCAGATTTTATTTCTGGAAAAACAGACTGAGGCGACGGACCCCACGACGGACCGTCATGGGCACGACGGACCGTCGCAGGTTCTCGTTTCAAAACACTTAGAAAATCTAAAAATTGGGTGCTGAAATCGACTCTCTGAACTTCGTAACGAAATGGCAGGACGGACCGTCACAGACCCTTGGTGGAAATTTGGGTCTCTGAACTTTGCGACGACCTGCAGGACGGACCGTCGCAGGCACGACGGCCCATCACAGGTTGCGCAATCCCAGTCCGGGTCGGATTTCTTTATACGTTTTAAGGGACGTTTTTGACTATTCCTGCTTAAATTATAAAGTTAGGGGGTTAATGTTAATAAGTCTAATTACTTGGGGGTTAAAAGAGGTAACCTTAAGTTAATTAGTGGGTTATTATTGCCATCTTTTACACTTGATTATATGTTAATTAGGGTAAAAGAAAGAGGGTTTGAATAAGAAAAATAGAAAGAACAAAGAGAGACAGAAAAAGAAAGAGAACGAGTAGAGAGAGAGAAACGAAGAGGATAGCAAGGATTTTGAGAAGATAGCTTGTTGATCGCAATTCTTCGGTGAAGGTAGGTTATGGTTTTCATACTATTCGTAGTAAACTCTTAATAGCGAATGATATGTATTGATAGTATTGTAAACCCTGCTATGTGCTTAATTGTATGCTTGCATGAACGTGATTATATAATTGTGATTATATTAAGCATGATGAAGCTATCGAATCCCAAATCTTGATAAAAACCTAATCTCTTTTTAATGATGATGCCTTTGTAAGGGATAAGGCTTGATGAACTAAAGTAATGAGATTGATGATGCCTTGGTAAGGGAGAAGGCTTGATGAATTGATAGAATGAGATTAGGGGATCGGGTGTTACGAACCGACACGTAGAATTAGGGGACCGGGTGTCACGAACCGACACGTAGAATTAGGGGATCGGGTGTCACGAACCGACACGTAGATTTAGGAGATCGGGTGTCACGAACCGACACGTAGAATTTAGGGGATCGGAGTGTCACGTTTCGACACATAGTAGTAGGGGATCGGAGTGTCACGTACCGACACAAGAGGATTAATGAATATAAGGGAGCGGAGTGTCACGTACCGACACAAGAGAAATAAAGATAATGAATCTTAAAAGATGTTAATATACTCAATCTAATGAACATAATTCCCAAATGAGTATGGTATTGAGGCTTGAGTCCTCATGTGTGAACTTGACGGAAATTGTTAATGATATAGTACTTGTTGTTGCTACATGTTGAGTATCATAGTTGAGTTTATGATATTACTTGGTATATACTGTTTTCTATTTTGAGTTGGCCGATGATATCTACTCAGTACCCGTGCTTTGTACTGACCCCTACTTTTATGTTTTCTTCTTTGTTATTTGTGGAGTGTAGCAAACGTGCCGTCGTCTTCGACTCAACAGTAATTCAAGCCAGTCTTACTACATCGGAAATTCAGGGTGAGCTAATGCTTCTAGCTTGGACTGGAGCTTCTTCTTCAAGTCTTGATGCCTTGAACTTCCGGCATGGACTAGCTTCTTATGTATTTTTAGCTTCTTAGGCATTTTTAGTTAGTAATTTGATCATAGATGTTCTTGTGATGATGACTTCCAAATTTTGGGGAATAATAGTTATTGATTTGGTTTTTTTTATAAACGAGTTTAAGTCTTCCGCATTATTTTCTGCTGATATTATATTGAAAT